GATTCAACAAAACTCAATAAAGAGGAAAAAACAAAAGGAGAAAAAAGAAAAGATTTTGGAAAAGATAAAGGAAGGAGAGAAAAAATTAAGAGCAAAACCAAAGTCCCAGGAGATTTTAAGAGAGATTAAGTTATATCAAACACAATATATGGAATTGATGAACCAAGAGATTGAATGGAAGATAAAGCAAATGAAACAAAAGACATTTGAATCAGCAAACAAATGTGGCAAACTTCTGGCATGGCAACTGAAGAAAAGACAGAAACTAAATACAGTTACAAGCCTAGAAGTGGATGGAAAGAATGTATCTAAACCTAATGAAATTAGAAATTGCTTTTTGAGTTATTTTAAAAAACTTTATACTCAAGGCCCGCAAAATGAAGAAGATATAGATAAATTCCTTGATAAATATGGATTACAAAAAATCTCTCATCAAAGTAAGAGGGATCTGAATCAGAGAATAACAGAACAAGAGATAGAGGCTGCCATTCAGAATATGCAATTGGGCAAGTCTCCAGGACCAGATGGACTGACTTCTAGATATTACAGATCGCTGAAGGAATGGTTGATTCAACCACTAAAAGAAGTCTGTAATGAGATTCTTGAGGGAAGAAGGGCACCCGAATCGTGGAAAGAAGCATATATTTCGCTCATACCAAAGACAGAGACGGAAAAGACTCAACTGAAGAACTACCGCCCAATATCACTACTTAATGTGGATTACAAAATTTTTGCAGACATTTTGGCAAAAAGATTTAAAAAAGTGCTGATGGAAAAGATTCACAAGAACCAAGCAGGCTTTCTCCCAAAAAGGCACCTAGCAGACAATGTAAGGAATATAATAGATATTTTGGAAAAGCTAGAGGTGAATATAAATACTAAAGCAGTACTGATTTTTGTGGACGCGGAGAAAGCCTTTGACAATATATCTTGGAGTTTTATGATAAAGAATCTTCATGGGATGGGGGTAGGCCAAGGTTTTGAGAATGGTATGGCTGCAATATATTCTGAGCAAAAAGCTAAATTGATTGTAAATAATGTAATAACTGAGGAACTTAAGATAGAAAAAGGAACACGACAGGGGTGCCCAATTTCCCCATTACTTTTTATCTCAGTTCTGGAGGTGTTGCTGAATATGATTAGGAATGACCAGCAGGTTAAAGGAGTTCAGGTCGGAGCTAAACATTACAAGTTAAGAGCGTTTGCAGATGACCTAGTATTGACTTTGCAAGAGCCAAACACTAGTACTAAAAAGGTTTTAGAAATAATACAACAGTTTGGTCAGGTAGCTGGATTTAAGTTGAATAAACAAAAAACCAAAGTTTTAGGGAAAAATTTAACAGATATGGAAAAGGAGAAATTCCAAGAGGAGACAGGGTTGACGGTGGTTAAGAAGGTGAAATATCTAGGGGTTTACTTGACATCTAAAAATGTGAACTTGTATAAGGACAATTATGAAAAATGTTGGTCAGAAATTAAAAAAGATCTAGAAATATGGTCAAATTTGAAATTGTCAATGTTAGGCCGAATTGCTGTGATTAAAATGAATGTATTGCCTAGAATGCTATTTTTGTTTCAGACCTTGCAGATTCTCGACAAGATGGAATGTTTCAAGAGGTGGCAGAAAGATATTTCGAAATTTGTCTGGCAGGGCAAAAAGCCCAGAATTAAACTTAAAATATTGACAGACGCTAAAGAAAGAGGGGGTTTTGCCCTGCCGGACTTAAAATTGTACTATGAGGCAGCAGCTTTTTGCTGGCTGAAAGAATGGATGCTCCTCGAGAATACAGACATTTTAGACCTGGAAGGTTTTAACAATGCTTTCGGTTGGCATGCATACCTATGGTATGACAAAGTCAATAGTGCCTTTAAAAATCACATTGTTAGAAAAGCACTGTTTAATGTTTGGATAAGATATAAAGATCTGTTGGAAAACAAAACCCCTAGATGGGTGTCACCAGTGGAGGCTAAAGCAGTGAAGAAACTCAATATGGAGGTCGGATGGCCGAAGTATTGGGAAATTTTGGAACAGGATGGAGATAAGTTGAAATTACAAAGTTATGAGAAATTGAAACATAAAGTACAAAATTGGTTTCAATATCATCAAATAATGGAATTTTTCAAACAGGACAGGAAAATTGGTTTCCAGGTGGAAAAATCAAAACTAGAGACTGAATTGTTAGAACCCAATACTAAGAATTTATCAAGAATGTATAATTTGTTGCTGAAATGGAATACACAGGACGAAACAGTCAAATCGGCTATGATCAAATGGGCACAGGATGTGGGTCATAACATTATGTCAGCTGACTGGGAATGGTTATGGAACACCGGTATTAAATTTACGGCATGTAATGCCTTAAAGGAAAACATTATGAAAATGGTTTATAGGTGGTACATGACCCCAGTCAAGCTGGCAAAAATTTATCACTTGCCCGATAATAAATGTTGGAAATGTAAGGAGACTGAAGGTACCTTCTATCACCTTTGGTGGACATGCCCAAAGATTAAGGCTTTCTGGGAAATGATCTATAATGAAATGAAAAAGGTACTCAAAAGTACTTTCCTCAAAAAACCAGAGGCCTTTCTCTTGGGCATTGTCGGCCAATTGGTGTCAAAGAAGGATAGAACTTTCTTTATGTATGCCACAACAGCAGCAAGAATACTCATCGCAAAGTATTGGAAGACACAAGATCTACCCACTCTGGAAGAATGGCAGATGAAAGTGATGGACTATATGATACTGGCCGAGATGACAGGCAGAATCCGTGACCAAGGAAAAGAGACGATGGAAGAAGAATGGAGAAAATTCAAAAGTTATCTTAAGGACTATTATAAACTTAATGAATGTTAGAGTGTCGTGGTTTTCAGGAACAAAAGGATACAGTGATATAAGGTCAGATTATAGAGATAACTAAGATGACAGAGGTTGGAAAGGTATACTTAGAAGTTGCTAAAAAATACTTTGGACATTGGGATGCAGAAAGGGGGGGTATGGGGGAGTCCCGGAAAAGAAGTTTATGAAAAAATGTTATTAAATTATACGTGTTTGTTTGTTTTTATGTGTTTGTTTATGTTTAAAAAATCTGTAAAACCAATAAAAATTAAAAAAAAAAAAAAAGGATGGGGGCTCTTGGTTCGTGTGAATCGGTTTAAACCAAGCCAGGAACAAAGGGGAAGGCCCCCCAAGCGCCAGGTCAGGAGCGCCTCTGGCTGGGCGGAGATGCAGCCTCCTCGAGAGTCATTATCCTCCTCTGCCTCTGAAGTCTCTGGGGGAAGGCGGGAGGAGCCGGTGATTGACAGCCCAGCCAGGCCGGAGTGGGGGTGCAGTTCCCCCGAAAGGCCACCAGGGGGCCGGGGCCTCTCTCTCTGATTGGCTGCCCAGTCAAAGGGGCGGAGCCAGCACTTTGGGCGGGAAAAGGAAAGGAGCCGTTTCTGAGGGAGTTTTGAGTCAGGGATGATGATGATGATGATGATTTTGTCATTTCTCCCCCTCTTGTCTGGCTGGGCTCCCCCAGCCACTCTGGGCAGCTTCCAGCTCATATAAAGCCATAATAAAGCATCGACCCTGAAAAGCGAAGCTTCCCCAAAGAGGGCCTTCAAGTGAGACCGGGCTCCTTGGGAGAGAGAGAGGCAGAAAGAGGGATCGGGACCCAGGCCTGGACGGAGGGAAAAGTGGCTCTGGATGGAGCCTCTCGGAGGAGAAGCTGGTCTCTGGCCAGGGGAAGAAGTGCTGCTCCTCCTCACATCATTTATTATTTTATTACCTTGTTGGGCATCCACACTTTTCCAGAGATGCCTCCCACTTTCCTTTCCTGTTACAACTGTCTGCATTTGGGCCTGCAATATTTCACCTTTAAGAAAGTCCCAACCATCTTGGACTCATTCAGTAATTCTGACCCTGGGACCTGACCCAGTAGCTCCTTAAGCTTTCTGAAATTGGCCTTTTTAAAGTCCAGAGTGTGAGTCCGACTGTACTCAGCTTCCCCATGCCTGTGAATCATGAAACCCAGGGGGACATGATGATGATGATGATTTATTATTTATACACCACCCATCTGGCTTGGTTTCCTCCCATGTTTCACAGTACAGTGGTACCTCGGGGTACAGATACTTCAGGTTACAGACTCCGGTAACCCAGAAATAGTACCTCAGGATAAAAACTTTGCTTCAGGATGAGAACAGAAATCGTGCTCCAGCGGCACCAGGAGGCCCCATTAGCTAAAGTGGTGCTTCAGGTTAAGAACAGTTTCAGGTTAAGAACGGACCTCCAGAACGAATTAAGTTCTCAACCCGAGGTACCACTGTACTTCCACTGTGTCAATCACTTTGTCCCTGTCTCAGGTCCAAGATAGATGATCCCCTTCTTGTTTCTTCCACCTTCTGGGTCATGAAATTGTCAGTGAGGCAATTCTCCATGGTCGCTTTCCTTAGACCAGGGCTAGACGCTTCCTTCTCTTTCTTCTTCCTTTTTTCCCTGTTAATGAAGGTTCAGAGTCAGGGCAGTGGTGCAGTCCAGCCCTGGTTCCTAGCAAGACTCAGCCACACTTGCTCAGGAAACATTTCTCTTCTCCTGACAGACCAATATGTTTGCTTTGTAGGATCTGCTTTGTAGGATCTGCTAAATTGGACAATCAGAACTTGGCAGAAAACGAAAGGATTCCTTCGGATCTCTTGGAGGCTTCATGAGAGCCCAGATGGATGAGCAAGACTCAGCTGCCCCTGAAGCAGGAGGAGGCCCTGCCCTCCAAACTGGGAGCAGTGGGAGATTATGGGAAAACTCAGTGCAGAAGATCCCAGGTGAGGAGGACACCCTCCGCTCAGAGGTGCAGAGCCAGCAGTTGACGCAGTCCGGCTCTCAGGAGGCCAAAGGACCCCGAGAGGCTTGCGGCCGATTCCACCACCTTGACTGTCGGTGGCTGAAGCCAGAAAGTCATACGAAAGCTCAGATGCTGGACCTGGTGATCTTGGAGTAGTTTCTGACTGTCCTTCCGCTGGAGATGGAGAGCTGGGTGAGGGAATGTGGAGCAGAGACCACTTCGCAGGCTGTAGCCCTGGCCGAAGGTTTCCTCCTGAGTCAGGCAGAGGAGAGAAAGCAGGCAGAGCAGCAGGTGAGAGAGACTTTCCTCTGGAAACTCCCAAGGGGCTCCCAACATGAGGGAGAGTATTCCCAAATTCTCTATTAATGGCTCATCATTTTTTGGAAAACATTCAGTGAGTTAGATCTGATACGCCCAAAGGTTTTGCCTCTGCCATTTCTTTTCCAACTCTTCTCCCCATTCTCTGTTTGAATCCTATTTCAGGCAAAGGATCTATTTGCAGAAATGGGCCCTGATTCCTGTGAGGCAGAGAAGACTCCGTTGGATGCCAGAGGGAGGCCGCTGGGTAAGGAGGAAGGAGTTTTTTCTCATTCTGTGGATTTTGAAACTAATCTGTGGGTTGTGTTCATCTTTTGAGGGGAGGCTGAAAGCCCCAAGGGGGGGGGAGATGTATTTTGACACAACTAAAATTTGAAATGGGTACAAATGTCTAAATGCACTCAGCAAGGAAAACTTTTAATAAGGCCTATCTGTAGTTAGAGATGAAGTGCTTCCCATTGACTTTTGTCTCTCTCAGGTGACAGAAGGATGCCCCCAAGATCTCATCCATCTTTTCATGGTAGTGGAGGAGAAGCAGCAACTGTGGAAACCGATCAGGTATTGTGATCAGGAGCTTTGTGGGGAAAGAATCAGGGAGCCTCTGGGCCCATTAAAATGCACAATAAAAGGATTCCATAAAAAACATTATAAGAAGCATACATAATTAAAATATGTAGGAAAATAATCCCATTGTAACAACACAACAATTAGCGCACAAAAAACAACCGAGCAATGTATAGTAGATAATCGTTATGTTGTCTCAGAAGAGGACCTTTTTCCTTTTCCTTCAGGGTCCTCTGTGCTTTGAAGATGTCGCTGTGTATTTCACAGAGGAGGAGTGGGCGTTGCTGGATCCTGACCAGAGAGCTCTGCATAAGGAAGTCATGGAGGAGAATCGTAGGATTGTGGACTCTCTCAGTAAGGATTCCTGATGGATCATAGTATCTGTTTTGAAATCCAATACATATCTATATGTGAGGAATTTTCAATATTTTGATGGAGCAGAACAGCACCACCACCAACATCTGGGATTCTAATTCCCCCACAGCTCACCTTGAATGGAGCGCTATCTACCATTTGGTCTGACAATATTCTTCTTCCAATATTCTTCTTAAACCATGTTCATGCTGGTCTTCACAGTGGTGAGGAAAGTTAAAATAGCTTCTATCAGGTTTTTTGTCTCTGCTTCTGTTGGCTTTTTTGACAACTGACTTTGCAGATGGCAGAGATTCCATGATTGGGGCAAACATAATCTATCCTGGAAGGTGCCAGGCTCTGGTCCCCATCAGTGTGTATGTTAATGAGCATAAACAAAGGCAGTAAAGCTTGTAGTAATGATATTGTTCAATAATTTGGGGCTCCATTTCTTCCTGAGGTTCTAATCCATTTCTCTCTTTGATGCAGGTGGTGATGGATTGGAAATCATGAGCAAAGGAGACCATTACAAAATTGACACAGGAGATAACTCCTATTCCACATCCCATCAAGTAAATCCCATTGGGAAGAATCACTATCAGTGCTTGGAATGTGGAAAGACTTTTAGTCGGAAGGATAGTCTCACATCCCATCAAAGAACACACAGTGGGGAAAAACCCCATCAATGCTTGGAATGTGGAAAAAGCTTCAGTCAGAGATGCAATCTGGCGTCGCATCAGAAAATTCATACAAGGGAGAGACCATATCAGTGCTTGGAATGTGGAAAGAGCTTCAGTCACAGCTTCAATCTCACTTCTCATCGAAGAACTCACAGTGGGGAGAAACCATATCAGTGCTTGGAATGTGGGAAGAGATTCCGTTTCAGCGGCTCGCTCACTCTCCATCAAAGAATACATACAGGAGAAAAACCATATCAGTGCTTGGAATGTGGAAAGAGCTTCAGGCAAAGTTCTAACCTCATGGCCCATCAAAGAATTCATACAAGGGAGAAACCATATGAGTGCTTGGAATGTGGAGTGAGCTTCTCTCAAAAGGCTAAACTCACATCTCATCAAATAATTCATAAAGGGGAGAAACCATATCAGTGCTTGGAATGTGAAAAGAGCTTCAGTCGGAGGTCCCATCTCACTTCCCATCAGAAAATTCATACAAGTAAGAAACCCTATCAGTGCTTGGAATGTGAAAAGAGCTTCTGTCAAAGGGCTAAGCTCACTTCTCATCAAAGAATTCATACAGGGGAGAAACCATATCAGTGCTTGGAATGTGGGAAGAGATTCACCCATAAGGAAAGTCTTGCATCCCATCAAAGAATTCATACAGGGGAGAAACCATATCAGTGCTTGGAATGTGGAAAGAGATTCACCCATAAGGAAAGTCTCACTTCCCATCTAAGAATTCACACAGGGGAGAAACCATATCAGTGCTTGGAATGTGGGAAGAGATTCACCCATAAGGAAAGTCTCACTTCCCATCAAAGAATTCATACAGGGGTGAAACCTTATCAGTGCTTTGAATGTGGAAAGAACTTCAGTCAGAAAGCCAAGCTCACAGCTCATCTAAGTGTTCATACAGGGGAGAAACCATATCCGTGCCCCGAATGTGGAAAGGGCTTCAATCACAGCTCCAATCTCAGTTGCCATCTAAGAACTCACAGCGGGGAGAAACCCCATAAGTGCTTAGAGTGTGGAAAGAGCTTCAGTCACAGCAGCTCTCTCTTTTTCCATCAAAGAATTCATACAGGGGAGAAACCATACCCATGCCTGGAATGTGGAAAGTGCTTCACTAGGAAGGAACGTCTCACTTCCCATCAAATAACTCACAGCGGGGAGAAACCCCATAAATGCCTTGAATGTGGGAAAGGCTTCATTCAAAAGGCTAAGCTCACAGCCCATCAAAGAATTCATACAGGGGAGAAACCTTATGAATGCTTGGAATGTGGAAAGAGCTTTGGTCAGAGGGCTAAGCTCACAGCCCACCAAATAATTCATACAGGAGAGAAACCCTATAAGTGCTTGGAATGTGGAAAGAGCTTCAGTCAGAAAGCTAAGCTCATAGCTCATCAAAGAATTCATACAGGGGGGAAACCATATCAGTGCTTGAAATGTGGGAAGAGCTTCATTTGGAGGGCTACACTCACTTCCCATCAAAGAATACATACAGGGGAGAAACCATATGAGTGCTTGGAATGTGGAAATTGCTTCAGTAGAAAGGAACATCTTATTTCCCATCAAAGAATTCACAGTGAGGAGAGACCATACCAGTGCTTGGAATGTGAAAAGAGCTTCAAATGGAAAAAAAGTCTCAGTTTCCATCAAGGAACTCACAGCAAGGAAAATCATATTATTTGAACATATCCTTTGAATTTCCAGGCTAAACATATGGAAATCCCTCAAACGTTCCTCATAAGGAACCTCTAGGATTAAAAATAATAATATTTATACCCCACCCATCTGACTGGGTTTCCCCAACTACTCTTGGCAGCTTACAGCATATATACCATAGTAAAATATCAAACATTAAAGACTTTCCAATGTCTTCTAGAAGTTATGTAGTTCTTTATCTCCTTGAGATCTGAAGGGAGGGCGTTCCACAGGGTGGACACCACTACCAAGAAAGCGTTCTGCCAGGTTCCCTGTAATTTCCCTCTTGCTGTGAGGGAACCAGCAGAAGACCCTCAGAGGAGGACCTCAGTCAGCATGCTCTATGTGCTTGATATCTGGTTGGAGAATTCAGGATTGGCTCCTTCAGGAACAGCCAACAGTTTATTCCATTTTCCACCAGTGTAGTCCAGAATGTTGTCTTCTCCACCAGTAGCATGACACCAGAAGTCGTTGTGCTGTTGAACGATCTGTCTTGGATGTGGGAGCCCAGGGTGATGTTGAGTAAGAGCCTTGGATCCCTGTTGAATGTAAGGCAGCTTGCCAGCGGCCTCAGGTGATCTTGCACCCAAAGGTGGGAGCTGAGGAGATCATCTTCATTGGATCATAGAACAGTAGAATTGTAAGGGACCCCAAGGAGCATCCAGCCCAATCCCTTGAAACGCAGGAATAGAGAATAGACTCAGCAGGCAGGAGGGTGTTTTATGAAAGGAAGTACCAATCCAGAGGAGGCTGAGAACATCAGAAGGGCCCCCGCTGTTTCCACATTGGCCAACCAGGTGTCCACCATGGTTTAGGAGAGAGGCTGGATCAATGGCAATACTTGCAGCTGCAACACGCTGTAACATCTTTATTTGGACCAGCAGCTTTTACAGAATCTAAGACACCTGAGATATTAGAACAATTGGCTAAATCCTTTGAGACTAAAAAGCAAGGGATTGTTTTCTATAGATACCTGGTTTCAGTCATTCAATTTGACATACAAAACCTGAGAAACGAACAGAATAAAGAACTGGAGGTTCCTGTCTCGCCCCATCAGTGGGACAAAGTTTTAACTTCGGTAGCTCATGTTTCAGTAGATTATTAATCATGTCTTATACAACAAAAAATAATGTTTATAATTTATTGGATGCAATGTCTGACACTTGCACATTTTGGGAGGAAAGTATTATGATGTATAAATACTACTTTGGGGGCAGGGAATTGAAATTGTCAGGGGATAATATTACCCTAAACCACATACCAACAACTATATGTGGACGACTAACGCCCTTCCTTCTGCTGAAAGACTGAAATTGATTCTAATGTGGATTAAATGTGGATATTTAATTAGAGATTAGATATAACTTTTGACTTTGTTCTAACTGTTCCAGTAGTAATTGCATTTAACCTTCCGATAGAATGCATCAGTGAATGATTCCTGTGTGCCTGTATTTTGTAACCCTCGTGCTTTCTTCCTATGCTGTGTGAACATTGCATGGGCTTCTAGGAGGGAAATGGATGTTTTGCCAAAGGGTTACGTGTGGAGTTAGCATCCGGGGAAGAACTAGTATTTCTCCTGGAAGCTATGTGAGGCCCAGAAGAAGGAGAGAAAATTCTGGCCCTCGTCCCTTCTCACAGATGGTCTGGTTGCTAAGAAAACTCTACAATGAGTTGTAAGTTAAGACCTAACGGACCGTCAGTATGCTAGATAAATAAGGGAAATGATATCAGTATAGAGCCATGCGTGTTTACATCCCATGACCTGCAATCTTTCCAATGTGCGTAGTAGGATGTTTTGATGTTTATGATCCTGTATTTTATGGCTCTGTGTGTGCTGTGTTTGAAACTCTTGTTTGAGCTTTGTTCTGATGTGCCTCATGGCAGTCCTCTTCTTCACTGGCAGTACGACTAGAACAACCATGTTCTCGTCTATATTTGCCTATGGCAAATATAATATCTTGAATGCATTTATAAAAATAACCGGTCTACTTATTTACCCCTATATTGTATTGTATCGTGTTTCAAGCAGTTCATTTTGCTTTGTTGTGACCTTTCTCCGCCTTTTTAACTTCATTTCTCTACCGAAACCTTCAGTAAAGTATCAGTATTAAAGGGGGGGTTGGCTCATAAAAGAAAAAGTGCCACCCAAAAGTACATCTAAGGAAACTGTTGTGGCTGCATAAGGAGCTTACAGATGAGCTGAGAGTTAAGAAGGGCATGTATAAGAAATGGAAGAAAGGTGGGCCAAAAAGCGGGACCCCTGGCCCCCCCTCCCTCAACAGACCCAAGACCAGTTCTCCTCCCTCCAAGAGAATAAACACCAACCAGGCAGCCACCACACGGGCAAAACTCGTCCCTTAGCCTGGGCACCTGGCTCCTGCGGCCCCAGAGAACAGCATGTACCCAGCCCCCTTCCCCACTTCCTCGGGGGGCTCCCTGAAAGAGTCCCCCCTCCCCAGTGCTCAGAATAGTTGGGAAACCCTCTTCCACCAGCCCTCTCCACCCATGCTACAATTCACGTACCCAGCAACCCTTTTCCCAGGTGTTAATTGCTGGCACCCTGCCCCGGAGTGCCAGGCAAGAGGCCACCTCAAAGACACAAGTTATGTCACAATCTGGGAGGGTTTTCCAGCAGTTTGCCCCTATCCCTCCCCTGACCTCCACCTCACACCCCTTAAGTAAAAACAAAAGGAAATACCGGTATATACATGATCCTGTTTCTCAGCCATGTTGAGAACAGTGGTACCTTGGTTTAAGAACAGCTTCGTTTATGAATAACTTGGATTAAGAACACTGCAAACCTGGAAGTAGGTTTTGGTTTGTGAACCAAAGGTACCACTGTACACTCTCTTGATTTTGAGTACACTATTGATTTTATATGACTTTCTAAAGCTTTCCCATTGAGCCAGCACATAGATACATTTATCAGTGAATTGTTACATTTGGTAATGAGCAGCGGAGGCCCTTTTGAATAGCAATAGGAAAAAAATGTGATGAAGTGTTTTGTGGGGACATTTGCAGGAGTGATTGTGTTGATTTTGGTAGTCAGGGGGGTGTATGATGTCCGCTGAAGGGCCAACCCCCCAACACCTTTCTATAAATTCCAGTAACACTACCAGTGAAACAGCATGAAGTGTTGGTCTATGGATGAACATGGGGTGGGGGGCGTTTTCCCGAAATGAAGATACTGTCTTTAAATTTAAACTTGGAACAACCCAACTGAGCCATATGCTGATGGGGATGAGCATGTTTTCTGGAGGCTTTGCTTTTACCTCCACGTGATGCTCTAGTGTGGGTGCACCTAGTTAGGCCAAAATCTTCGGGGGGGGGGGAAGCCTCTGCAAATTCCAACAGGCTCCATGTGTATCCTGAGGCTTAATTCCCCACCACCACCACGTTTGACACTTTATGTGACTGTTGTTCTGAGTGTTAAGCCTTTTTACTATGATTACTACTACATTTGTAATTCATTATTTCAGATGTCACAGGAAGGGGGTGGCGGCGCAAAACACAAATCTCTTGATGCCTGAAGCATGGGCAAGAGGCCCAGGTGTGCTTCTGTGGACAGGGCATTCCCCCACTTGAGGAACCGCCCCCAGGATGGCCTCCACCCAAAACTCTGAGGGTGGGGAAACTACTAAGAGGCCCCTTTGCCAACCTGGTTGTTCCTGCCTAAGTGCACAGCCTTACATTTGTCCCTATTGCAATTCATTTTGTTAGCTTGCACCCGTTAAGATCATTTTGAATCCTGATTCTGTCTTCTGCGGCACCAGCCACCCCTCCCCGTTTGGTGTCATCCGCAAATTGGAGAAGCATCCCCTCAATTCCTTCCTCCAGAAAAAATCCCCTTAAAACAACACAGCAAATGGTCCACATCCTCCATGCCTAGTGGGGTTTTTTTAATGCGGACGCCCACAAGGATCCTGAGCAGTTTGTAGAATGACAGAAGGAGCTTCGCTTGGCTTCGGGGCGCCAGAAACAGAGCTGAACTTGGGGCTCCCTCCCTCCATCTCCTCACTGCAGATGGTGACAGCAGCCACGAAATTAAAAAACGCCTGCTCCTTGGGAGAAAAGCAATGACAAACCTAGACAGCATCTTAAAAAGCAGAGACATCACCTTGCCAACAATGGACCGTATAGTCAAAGCTATGGTTTTCCCAGTAGTGATGTATGGAAGTGAGAGCTGGACCATAAAGAAGGCTGATCGCCGAAGAATTGATGCTTTTGAACTGTGGTGCTGGAGGAGACTCTTGAGAGTCCCATGGACTGCAAGAAGATCCAACCTCTCCATTCTGAAGGAAATCAGCCCTGAGTGCTCACTGGAAGGACAGATTCTGAAGCTGAGGCTCCAAATACTTTGGCCACCTCCTGAGAAGAGAAGACTCCCTGGAAAAGACCCTGATGCTGGGAAAGATGGAGGGCACAAGGAGAAGGGGACGACAGAGGACGAGATGGTGGGACAGTGTTCTCGAAGCTACCAGCATGAGTTTGACCGAACTGTGGGAGGCAGTGGAGGACAGGAGGGCCTGGCGTGCTCTGGTCCAGGGGGTCACGAAGAGGCGGAGACCACTAAACAACCACCACCCTCCACCTGCACGCGCAGCTCCGGACCCCGCCGTGTTTTCTCCTTTCTCAAAAGAGCAGGCGGCGGACTCCCACGTGCACCTCTACCCGTCGTCTATGGCTCACGTGATCCTTCGGCGCCTCCCTCCCTGCCAATCGGCGTGCGCGGCTTCGGAGGCGCCTGCCACGTCATCTCCGGGCGCCGGAAGTCCCTTTGGCGGCATGGCGGCGGCCCTGTGGAGAGGCTACCAGAGGCTGATGGCCCGGCACCCCTGGAAGGTGCAGATCGGCACCGCCGGTAAGAGGGAGGCCGCGCCCGCCCTGCTTCTCTCGCCTGCTCCGGATTCACCCCGGCGGGGCGGGGAGGGCTCGGGGCTTGGAGAGGGAGGGCTCCGGGGCGGCCTCCTCCAGGGCAGGAATCTCCTTTCCAGGAAAGGGGAAGCAAACGTCCTCTCCTCGTTGCATTTGTTCCCGCCTCAAAGTAGCCTGTGTAGGAGTTCTTGTTGTTGAGTCGTGTCCGCCTCTTCGTGACCCCCTGGACCAGAGCACACCAGGCCCTCCTGTCTTCCACTGCCTCCCGCAGTTTGGTCAAACTCATGCTGGTAGCTTCGAGAACACTATCCAACCATCTCGTCCTCTGTCCCCCCCCTTCTCCTTGTGCCCTCCATCTTTCCCAACATCAGGGTCTTTCCAGGGAGTCTTCTCTTCTCATGAGGTGGCCAAAGTCTTGGAGCCTCAGCTTCAGGATCTGTCCTCCCAGTGAGCACTCAGGGCTGATTTCCTTCAGAATGGAGAGGTTGGATCTTCTTGCAGTCCATGGGACTCTCAAGAGTCTCCTCCAGCACCACAGTTCAAAAGCATCAATTCTTCGGCGATCAGCCTTCTTTATGGTCCAGCTCTCACTTCCATACATCACTACTGGGAAAACCAGAGCTTTGACTATATGGACCTTTGTTGGCAAGGTGATGTCTCTGCTTTTGAGAAGCTGTCTAGGTTTGTCATCGCTTTTCTCCCAAGAAGCAGGCGTCTTTTAATTCCGTGGCTGCTGTCACCATCTGCAGTGATCATGGAGCCCAAGAAAGTAAAATCTCTCCCTGCGTCCATTTCTTCCCCTTCTATTTGCCAGGAGGTGATGGGACCAGTGGCCATGATCTTCGTTTTTTTGATGTTGAGCTTCAGACCATATTTTGCGCTCTCCTCTTTCACCCTCATTAAAAGGTTCTTTAATTCTTCCTCACTTTCTGCCATCAAGGTTGTGTCATCTGCATATCTGAGGTTGTTGATATTTATTCCAGCAATCTTGATTCCACTAAGGGATTCATCCAGCCCAGTCTCCATCTTCACCACAACCCTGTGAGGTAGGCTAGTCCCCCAGGGGCTGAGTGGGGGTCACAAGCCCACTGTTTGACCCTCGGCTGGGCTGGCTCCTGGAGAGTGGGTGGTGCAGGGAGCTCTGCTGAATTGTTGGGGGGCCGCAGATGGCTCTGACTAGCCGCCCCCCTGCCTGAAGGACGTTGGGCTGCCCAGATCTTCCCAGGTGGGAGGAGGACCCCCCCAGTCAAGAGCTAGGGAAGTGGGCTCCTTCCGTCCACCATCACGGGGGCAGCAGCCAGAGACCAAGCCCAGATGGGAGCATCCTTAGGTCTTGCCCTGAGGTGCCTCACGGTCGTCTTTTATCCTTCAAGTTCATCCGCAAGCAAATGCCTTTTGCACACAGGCTCCATGAAATAGGAATTCCATTTCTCTTGCAATCAGACGGGTGCCCACAGTGCCGATGTTTGGCCGCCTGATGAAAATGTTTTTGTTTTGCCAAGTGCTTTTAGATAATTCATTTTATTCCCTCTTGGTCATTGCTCTGCATTTTTATAGTTTTCAAAAATGACTGCCATATTTTACAAGTTCATGGCTTATAAGTGCACTTAAAAATAAAAGAGCGCTGTCCAAAAGCCCTCCCTCGCCCCAACGTCTTCATGCCTGCCCCACAGCAAAGGGGGTGGAATGTTGTATGTGGCTGTAAGTGTGACAAGCCTGTCTAGCTGTAGCTCAGACCATGCACAGCCCATATTGGGGGGGGGGGGGACACACGACTTTGCCTTTACCTGAGCTGTGAATGGTGAAGGCCTCACCTGCAAACCAGGGAAGACCCGCCTGGTAGCTTAGCAGGGCTGAGTCCCCTTGTGCAGCCAGGATAGCACCCTCTGCCTGGGATGGGGCCAGACCCTCCCTGCAGCAGCTGCCACTCTGGGTTCTGTGCCCCAGACAAGTTCTGAAGCAGCAGTCCTTCCCACCCCGGACTCCCCAGCTCCTGGCCACCAACCTGGGTGGCTTCAAAAGAGGATGAGACAAATTCCTGGGGGGGGGGGGCTAGGGAAGGATATTAGCCATGATGGCAGCAATGCTTCTGAATATCAATCTTCTGAATATCTGAATAGTGCTGGGAACCGCAAGAAGGGAGAGTTGCTCTTGGGCTCAGATCCTGCTTGCAGGGTTCCCACAGGCCTCTGACTGACCTCTGACCTTACGCCAAAGAATAAACGGACATAAATCTGACATCAAGAATCACAAAACAGAGAAACCAGTAGGAGAACACTTCAATCTCCCAGGACATTCTATACAAGATCTCAAAGTAGCTGTTTTACTACAAAGGAATTTCAGAAATAGACTGGAAAGAGAAGCTGCTGAATTGCAACTCATTATCAAACTTAAAACCATGGAGAGACCGGGTCTGAACAGGGACATTGGATTCTTATCTCATTATACATGACTAAGCCATTTTTCACCTTCTCACCCCTTGCCTTTTCCTGTAAGACCTATTGCAGTCGTTAAGAGTCGTCAACAGGCTCATCTCAGCTATCTGCCAATCTCCCATTCCCACCACCCTTCTGAGTAATACCCCTCCCCACCTTCTCACTATGTAGAAGGATCTGGCAACTTCTGTTTCAGTGTATCTGAAGAAGTGTGCATGCACACGAAAGCTCATACCAAGAACTAACTTAGTTGGTCTTTAAGGTGCTATTGGAAGGAATTTTTTTATTTTGACCTCTGTGAGAACAGGATGCTGGGCTAGAGGCACCATCGGCCTGATCCAGTTGCTTCTTATTGGGTTCTTCTTGTTGTTATTTAGCCTTTTAGTCATGTCCGCCTCTTTGTGACCCCCTGGACCAGAGCACACCAGGCACTTCTGTCTTCCACTGCCTCCCGCAGTTTGGTCAAACTCATGCTGGTAGCTTCGAGAACACTGTCCCACCATCTCGTCCTCTGTCGTCCCCTTCTCCTTGTGCCCTCCATCTTTCCCAACATCAGGGTCTTTTCCAGGGAGTCTTCTCTTCTCAGGAGGTGGCCAAAGTCTTGGAGCCTCAGCTTCACGATCTGTCCTTCCAGTGAGCACTCAGGGCTGATTTCCTTAAGAATGGAGAGGTTTGATCTTCTTGCAGTCCGTGGGACTCTCAAGAGTCACCTCTAAAACCAGAATTCAAAAGCATCCATTCTTCGGCGATCAGCCTTCTTTATGGTCCAGCTTTCACTTCTATACATCACCCCTGGGAAAACCAGAGCTTGAACATAGCTTTTAATTTGGTTCATTTCTGATACGGGTTTCCAGGCATTGCAAGTGGGGAGAGTTGCTGCTCTCTTGCTTCTGCCCATTTTGGGGGCTTCCCATTGTGGCATCTGGCTGGGGGCAGGGGGGGGGGGAGACAGGAAGCTGAGCAAGGTGGACTCTTGGCCTAGAAGAAGTCCCAGAAAAAGAAGAATAGATACGAAAACTTATGGAATATGCAGAAATGGCGAAACATATTTGAAAAATAAGAAATCAAGATAGCAAACTTTCTATAAAAGAATGGAAATGGTTTAGGGAATATTTACAAACAAACTGTAAACAGATAGGAACATTGACAGGGTTATTGTAATCTGCAGTTTTATAAGAGTATATTTTTAAAGTAGATGAGTAAATGAGCAAATTAAGTTAATTTGTATATGCAAAAAATGTTAAAAATAAATTTAAGGAGCCACAGAAAGAGGGGGAAGGAAGTCAAGTTTTGAAATGTTAACATGATTGTAAAATTATTGAAATGTATAAAAATGAAAGTCTGAAATATAAAGTAAAAGGGTGGGCCTTGGCCTAGATCCAGCAGGGCTTCTCTTATCTCCTTCCTCCTCCCCCTGCTCCACTTCTCCTCCTGGGGGGGGTCCATCCTTCCACCAGGTGCCAAGGAACTGCCCGTCTGCTGTGTGTGTTGGGGGGGGGGGAGTGGCGCTGGCAGCCTCCCAAGGCTCCTTGCGGGTGAAGTCATCGCTCGGGGAGTCGTCAATCTCTGTGGTGCGGCTGGCACAGAGCGACTCTCATCCCATTACACTTGGCACGGCTGCCAGCTGCGTCATACAGGTGCCACCTCTCCCCTTCCCGCCAATCTGGGTGAGTGAATGAATGAATGAATGAATGAATGAATGGAGCTGGGAGGGAGCCTTTGGTGACAGAAGCTGTGAGTTTGTCAATGAGCAAGTGGAGAAGCTGAGCCAACACCACGCTGTTTCTGACACGGCATCCAAAGGGGGGGGTCCGTGTCTCTTCAGGGCTGAACATCCCACCCAAGGAAAGTCTGCACAGGCAAGGGCTGGGAGGGGGGAGGCATTAGATAGCAGGCATTGGGACTAGTTTTGGAAGGGACCCTTGCATGAGAAGAGCCAAACGTCCTCTTCTCACAGTGACCAGCCAGGTGCCCCCAAGTGAATGACAGCCCCCCCCCTTGCCCAGAGCATGACCTGATCTCAACTCAGTTCTGTGTGCTGCTTCCTTTCAAACCTTCAGATTCACAGAAACTCTCCTCTTCTTCCTCCTCCGCTGCAGATCTGGAACACCCCTGTTTCCTGGGGACTCTGGTGTTCTTCAGGAAGGGAGGATTCTGTGACCCTCCGTGGGGGGCGTCTTCCAGTCACGGGGCTGGCGCATACTTTTGCAGGGCCCCAATTTCATGCTCAAGGCCGGAGTGAAATCTTGATGTTCATTCCGCTTTGTCATCTCGTTGGATTTCCCTTTCCCAACTCCTTTTCTTTTGCCTTCCTGCCAGGGGCTGTTAAATAGCTAGTGGGCAGAGCAGTCACTGAGACAGAGGTCACATTTGGCATTTCTGGCAGATTCTTAGGATGGTAGAATTGGAAGGGACCCCCGAAGCCCATCCAGTCTAACCCCCTTCAGTGCAGGAATCGCAGAGTCTGTGTAAAAACCTCCCAGGAAGGGGAGCCCCACCCTCCTTGGGACCTGGAGGTCAGAGCATGCAGAGGAAACGGAGGCAGCTGTGCTACTCTGGAGACCCTGGCTGAGCCCCCTCCCTCGCTTGGCCATGGCCCCCTTCCGTCTCCCCTCTCTGGGGGAAGAGAGGCGGCTTCTCTTCTTCTGGGCACAGGGCTGAGTCTTCTCCCTTTGCCAGCTCACTGGATCCGCTCCAAGGAGGGAGGCTTGACGTCAACAGATAGCTGGCAGGGACTTTGGGGGAGGCAGTGGCTCAGAGGCTCTGCCCCCTTGGCCAGAGACCAGAAGAAGCCAGGCCTGGGCTGGGGAAGATGTGGCTTGGCAGAAATGGAGGCAGCCCTGCACCCCCTTTCCTCCTCCTTCCAACCCAGCAGTCTATAGTTTGCTTCTATTTTTGTTGTTGTTTAGTCGTGTCCGCCTCTTCGTGACCCCCTGGACCAGAGCACGCCAGGCCCTCCTGTCTTCCACTGCCTCCCCCACTTTGGTCAAACTCATGTTTGTCGCTTTGAGAACACTCTCCCACCATCTCGTCCTCCGTCATCCCCTTCTCCTTGTGCCCTCCATCTTTCCCAACATCAGGGTCTTTTCCAGGGAGTCTTCTCTTCTCATGAGGTGGCCAAAGGCTTCAGGATCTGTCCTTCCAGTGAGCACTCAGGGCTGATTTCCTTCAGAGTGGAGAAGTTGGATCTTCTTGGAGTCCATGGGACTCTCCAGAGTCTCCTCCAGCACCATAATTCAAAATTCTTTGGCGATCAGCCTTCTTGATGGTCCAGCTCCCACTTCCACACATCACTATTGGTTGCTTCTATAGGGAGCATCATAAATTGTGGAGTTGGAAGGGACCCTGAGAGTCATCTAGTCCAACCCTCTGCAACACAGAGATCACAACTAAAAGATCCCTGACTGACGGCCACCCAAACTTTTCTCTTTTTGTAAACCACTTTGAGGGATTCCCCCCCCCCCAATCAAGCGGTGTATGGATTTTAGGAAAGAAATACATTGTTTTGTGTGTACATGAGGTTTTCCACGCCATAAGGCCAAACATGGTTCGGCTCTGGGGGGTCGTGCGCGGCCCTCCCACCTTTTCTGCCTGGAGCAAACGAGCTCAGAGCTGCCTTCAGGCTGGCAAACTGGGGTTTGAGCTGGCCTTGCCAACCAGGATCAAAACACTCAGGTTTAATTCCAGTTTTCAATCCGGATCTTCAAGGCAACAAGGAGCCAACTGTGCTTTGGCCCAAGCCAGGAAGTGAGTCATTTGACTTGTCCTCTGGGGCTGGGCAGACATTGCACCCCACCCACGAGATGATGTTGCTTTTGCACAGGGACTCTGGTGGGCGTGGGAGATGTGATTTCCCAGCAGGCGGTGGAGAGGAGGGGGCTCGCTGGGCACAGCAGCCGGCGGACCCTGAAGATGATGGCCATCGGTTTCTGCTTTGTGGTGAGCCAGGGCAAATTGGGTGGCACAGGAGCACCAAGCCAGAAGGGCCTCCGGGCTGGGAGACGTTCCTCTTGGCTCCTGGGGAGACTGCTTCACCAAGGGGGCTGGGCCAGGGGCTGCCTTGACCTGGCAGGGCTGGGTCTCCCTGGTCCTCTGTGGCTGTAGGGGGAGGCTCTGCCTCAGTTGCTGTGCTGTGACCCCGACTGCCCCTCTCCCCTGCAGGGTCCGGTCATTGGAGGCTGGTACCACGTCCTTGACCGTCTGGTGCCCGGCACCACCAGGGTGGCTGCGTTCCAGAAGATGCTGCTGGATCAGGTCAGGGGGCTCTCTCCGTGGGATCCCCAAGCCAACCAGCCGGCCAGGGCTTTGCAGCCTCCTCTTCCGCAGCTAAGGAATCCCTGGCTGGCGGGCATCCGACCTCAACTCAAAAACCTCTCGGGAAGGAGAGTCCACCGCCTCACAGGGGTCTCTGTTCCACCGTCAAACAGCAAAGCTTTTCCTAGTGGTTCATCTCCTTTCTTGCATTTAAATCCGTTGTTTTGGGTCCTCCCTTCTGGAGGAGCAGCAGAAAAGAAGCTGGCTTCTCCTTTGTGCATTTGAAGAAGGCTGCCATATCACCTGTCCCTGCTCCAGCCCCCAGGACGACTTGTTCTGATGCTTGGCTTGGCCCCTCTCTTCGTCAGCTGCACGGGGCGGGTGGGGAGGGGGCTTCCTGGGGGACCCTGGTTCCTGTGGGCCAGGGAGCTCTTCTTCCTTCCCAGCTCCTTGCTTGAAGTCTTCACCTTCTCCCCATGGATCCCCTCTCTTCTCTCCCACAGGCTGGCTTCGCCCCCTGCTTCCTGGGCTCTTTCCTGGCCGTGGCAGGAGCGCTCAACGGCCTGTCCCTGGAGGAGAACTGGGGCAAGATCAAGCGGGTGAGTTGGCCGCAGGGCAGCTGGCAGGGAAGGGGTGTGGCCATCTCTGGAGCAGCAGAGTTGCAAGGGACCCCCCCCCCTGCATTGAAGAATCCCTGATTTCCTTCCTTGATGCTGCCAGTATTGGGGGTCCCTCTGCCTCTGTGCTTGTAGGCGATTGCTGTGCCAGAGAGTTATTCCTTGGAGGTTTCCATTCCGCCTTCAGAGAGGCGTTTGGGGACGTCTTCCATGGCTGGATCCAGGTCTGACAAAAGGAAGGACTTCTTGGCCCAAGAACACTTACTTAGAAGCAGCAGAACTCCCTTGCACAAGGGACAGCGACGGCCACCCATTTGGATGGCTCTTAGATAAGGGAAGGGACGCGGGTGGTGCTGTGGGTTAAACCACAGAACCTAGGACTTGCCGATCAGAAGGTCAGCGGTTTGAATCCCTGCGACGGGGTGAGCTCCTGTTGCTCGGTCCCTGCTCCTGCCCACCTAGCAGTTCGAAAGCACGAAGTGCAAGTAGATAAATAGGTACTGCTCTGGCGGGAAGGTGAACGGCGTTTCCGTGCGCTGCTCTGGTTGGCCAGAAGCAGCTTAGTCCTGCTGGCCACATGACCCGGAAGCTGTACGCCAGCTCCCTCGGCCAGTAAAGCGAGATGAGCACCGCAACCCCAGAGTCGGCCACGACTAAACCTAACGGTCAGGGGTCCCTTTACCCCTTTTACCCTTTTAGATAAGGGAAATTCCTCCAGGATGAAGTTGCTAGTCCTCATGGCCGAAGGAGAGGCTGGGGAGGGGGTGTCACAGGCAAGCTGCTGCTGCTGCTCTTCCCCTGCTGGATGAGGCCAGGGGCCCTTCTGGGGCAGCCTCCTTTTCTCACAGTGGCCAGCCAGGTGCCCCCAAGAGGATCTGGGTGCGAGAGCCCTCGCCTGGTGGGGGGAGAGGGGCCACTGGACGAGGTGGCTGTCCCTTTTGCTCTGGCCCTGCTCCCCCTCCGATGTCCTGGCCTGCCACAGAGGCCCCCTGCCCATCCCTCCAGCCCCTCTGCCCTTTGAGCTGCAGCATCTGCCCCCCCCCGGCTGCCGTTCTGCTGCCTTCTGTCCTGCGAGGGCCCTGCGTGACCCCTGCCAATGTCTCTCGCGTCACCTGGACAACCTGATGCCGGGATCCGGCCCGCCTGACACACGCACAGCCCCCTCCCCATCTCTTTCAAGAGCCTCTTCTTCCCATCTCATCTCAGTGTGGACTGAAAGACTCGGCTGCTTTACTCACCAGAGATGAGTCACAGGAGGATAAATGTCACAGTGACCCCCTCCCTCCTGAGGAGCTGGATGTGCCACCAAGTCTCAGAGAAGGGGGGGTGGAGAGAGCCAAGCAGGATCCTTGGGGGAGGGGGGTCACCAGCACCCTTCTGCCTTTGCCTGACCCCCACTTAGGAGTAGAGAATGGGGGGTCCCATGGGCCAGAAGTATAGAGGGGGGTCCCTGGACCAGAAGGGTTTCTGCTCCCCCAACCCCTCCAGGACCGAGCCCCAGCTGGCTTCAGGTGCCCCAAGGGCAGGTCTGTACAGGGGGGTGGGAGTGGCTGAGCCTTTGTGAAGGGGGACCTCCCCCCCCCCGTGTCCCTCAGGGAGGTGGGACCTCCGAGTATAGGGTGGTTTAATAATAATAATAATAAAAACCCCTCCGAGGAGTGCTGTGAAGGTGACCTGGGAGGGGGAAGTCTGGGAAGGAATGGGGGTTGTTTTCTAAGAGGAGGGGGTGAGGCGAAGTCTATGAAAGGAAGACCAAGAACGTTGTTGTTGTTATTCTTTGTTAGATTTCTATTCCACCCTTGATCACAAGATCTCAGGGCAGTTCACGAGGCACAAGGAGGGCAGCCTGTTTCTGCCTGAGAGAGAGGAGTCTGGGATAAACTTCTGGAGACGCTCCCTGGCTCTGAGCCTCCCCAGAAGTCTCCAGGAGGTGCCTGGCATGGAGAAGTCCCTCTCAGGGCGGGGGGGGGGGGTTGACTGAGCCATGGCGGGGGCCCTGCCAGCCAGACCTCACCTCCGCTTCCTCTCTGTGTTGCTCTCTTGCAGGACTACACGGATGCCCTGATCACCAACTATTACGTGAGTCCTCCGGCTGCCCCCTGGCAGGACCTGCCTCCCTGTGCCACCTGCCATCTCCCCCCCCCCCCCGCACAGCCCTGCCTGGCAAAGGTGGCTCCTTGGCTGCCCTTCCAGAGGCCCTACAGGGTCGCCTGGTCAGTCAGTCCGCAGCATCTCTCTGGCAGCCTCCAAGCTCAGCACATCACAGAATTGTGGAGTCGGGTGGGGCCCCCAATTGTCACGCAGGAATCCCAGCTCCCCTTCCCCTGAGAGGTTTGGGGAGGGGTCTTCCTGGGGCCCTGCGCTTGGCGGCCACGCTGCTTCCCCAGTGGCGCATCTCTTGCTCCCTCTCCCTTTCAGATCTGGCCGGCTGTGCAAGTGGCCAACTTCTACTTCGTCCCCCTGAACTACAGGTAAGACCTCCCTTTCCTGCCTGCAGGATCCGCCCCCCTTGGCAGAGTCGCTGCCCCTCAGCTCTTTCTCTGCCCCTCCCCCCAGGCTGGCCGTGGTCCAGTGTGTTGCCATTGTCTGGAACGCCTATCTCTCCTGGAAGGCCAACCAGCTGTGACCGGTGGAGGAGACTCGTCCTGACTCCAGCCCCTCTGCACCCGACTCTTGTCATCCACTGTGGCCTGCCTGGCAATCGGCCCTGTGCACCCGCCTGCCCCACAACCAAGGGGCCAGGCTGCTCCATGCACCCCCTCCCCAATACTGGCCGCCCAGTGGCAGAGAGAAGCCCAGAAGACCTGAGATATGGTTGGGCTCCAGGCCCCAGTTGCTCCCAGCAGCTGCCTGGCCCAGTTGTCAGGGATGGTGGGAGCTGGAGTCCAGCCACAGGTTCACCCCTGATGGACCGTCTCGCCTGGAGCTCCTTGCTGTGTCTCTTTTGGGTGGTCTCTGGCAAGGGAAGCCCCCTCTGCCTCGACACCCGGCTTGCCAGCCCCACATGAGGGTTGAGGGCCTCATTCTGTGTCATTGGGAGGCCCCAGGGGTGCTGTGACCCCTGCGCCCCACTGGAAGCTCCTCACTTGCCTCTAGCCCAGGGGTCAGCAAACTTTTTCAGCAGGGGGCCGGTCCACTGTCCCTCAGACCTGGTGGGGGGCCGGACTGTATTTTTTGGGGTGGAAATGGACGAATTCCTATGTCCCACAAATAACCCAGAGATGCATTTTAAATAAAAGGACACATTCTACTCATGTAAAAACATGCTGATTCCAGGACCGTCCGTGGGCCAGATTGAGATTGAGCTGGATCCGGCCCCTGGGCCTTAGTTTGGCTACCCATGATCTAGCCCATCTCTTGGCTCTTTCCCCTGGCAGAATGCATGGCAGCCTCTCGTGCCAAGTGAGGGGGCAGCCCGTGAGAGACCAGGCTTTTATCAACTGGGCACAACCCTCAATACACTCATCACTTTACTTTCCAAAAAGTATTCAGCAACTGTATGAAGGAGAAAGGTCTATTGGGGGCCATTTTGGGGTGGCTGCATGGAGCTTCTATGTACAGGGACAGTCTACCTCAATCCTAATTGCTAGGGAAGGGAAGCAAGGGAGGGCATCTGGCATACCACTGTGACAGACTGCAAGGGCCCGCTTTGTGGCTTTCTCTGATCTTCCTGTGAAGGAGGCTACTGAGCCGAATAAATCCATTGTGAAAAACAGTGTCTTCTGTCTTTGATGGCGGCACACAGACTCAACGTGAGTCTCGGGGCGAAGGTCTCTCAGGCCCAGGAGGTGCCACTCAGCCTCTGGATGAAAAGGTGGACAACGTGCCCAGCAGGATCTACGGGGAGGGTGTTTGTGTGGCCCCCAGAGGAAGTGAGGAACAGGTGAAGGTGAAAGCTGCAAAGGTGGCTTTGAAAGGGGAATAGGCAAACGTGGAGGAAATGTCAATCTGGGGCTAAATTGAGCCTCTGTGGGCAGGAGGGGTCTACCTTCGGGTGGGAGGGGGGGTGGACATGATGGGTGCACCTGAGCTGGTGCACTTTGTTGTTGTTCTTTAGTCGCTTAGTCGTGTCCGTCTCTTTGTGACCCCCTGTACCAAAGCACACCAGGCACACCTGTCTTCCACTGCCTCCCCCAGTTTGGTCAAACTCAGGCTGGTAGCTTCGAGAACACTGTCCCACCATCTCATCCTCTGTCGTCCCCTTCTCCTTGTGCCCTCCATCTTTCCCAACACCAGGGTCTTTTCCAGGGAGTCTTCTCTTCTCCTGAGGTGGCCAAAGTCTTGGAGCCTCAGCTTCAGGATCTGTCCTTCCAGTGAGCACTCAGGGCTGATTTCCTTCAGAATGGAGAGGTTTGATCTTCTCGCAGTCCATGGGACTCTCAAGAGTCTCCTCCAGCACCAGAATTCAAAAGCATCCATTCTTCGGCGATCAGCCTTCTTGGTGGTCCAGCTCTCACTTCCATACATCACGACTGGTGCGCTTACAAGCTCCTAAAGCACTGCTGCCTTGCGGGAAGGTGGAATCGGGCATCTGCAGAAGGACGCAAAGAGTCCGGCCGGCGAAGGTGTCAGGACGGCTCCGAGGGCCGATCCTGCGCCGCCCGCTCCTTCGGCTCCTGCCTGCGGGCCGGTCTTGTTCGCTCGCCTCCTGCCCGGCGCGTGTTTGCCAAGAGGCCAAGCAATTGCCGGCGGCTGTTTGCTTTGTCTCCCGGCGGCCGAGCGCGCCAGCTGAGCCCCGCGCTGCGCCGCGCCGTCTTCCCTCGTGAGCGAGGCAGCCTCAGCTCCAGGCGACGCAGAGGCCGGACCCCCTTCCCCGGCCAGGGGGGCTTCAGGCGCAAGGCCCGCTCTCCACTCGGCTGGGCCAAAAGGTGGGCGTGGGGGGCGGGCAGCGCGACGGTCGGAAATAAACCTGTCGGTCAGCCAGAGCCCCCAGGCGCTCTCTTTGGCCCAGCAAGGTAGACAGCTCGTCGTTGGGGGGGGGACACCCCCCTTCCAGCTCCAAGTCCCGCTGCGGCCCAAGCCCGTGCCGGCCTGCTCCCCATCCATCCTTGCCTAAGAGACCCCCAGACCCAGTTCTCTGAAGCGCAAGTGAGCTCCCCTCGGGCCTTTCCTGCCTGGAGAGCCACGCAGAGTCCCGCTTCCCATCGTGGCTCAGGATTTGCAAGGACCTGTCCTCCAGGGACACCCCCACCTCAAAGTCTGCCTCGCTCCCCTGCGCTCCCTCCTTCCAGAAGCGGGAGCCCTCACGATGCTCAATTAAAAGGCACTTGGATGAGGTCAGGGCAATGGCCTCCGGGGCTCCGGCTGCGAGGCGAGGAGCAGGCTGCCGCACTAAGAGGCTGGGGGAAGAAAGGCGCTCGCGGGGAGGTTAGCCGGGCCGAGCCTTCCGTGGCAGCCTATCCAGCCCTTCCCGAAACCCCGGACCCTGAAACCCCACGGGGAGGGAAAGGGCATTTCGGAGACAGTCCGCTTCCCCGGCAGAGGCTCTCCAGGGTCTCCAAAGTCTTTGCCAGCCTCACCTGAGGGCGCAAAGATTGAACCTGGGCCCTTCTGCACTCCGAGCATCTGCTTCTCTCCCCCCCCCCCCCTGAGCCGAGGCCTTTTCCAGCCACTGTGAGCCCTCCTTCCGCTGTGGAGGTCGGGAAGCAGGACCCCTCCCTGGCCCCCTCCCTTAACCCAGCCCCTGGCGTCGAGGGAGACCTTAATGGCTATAGGAATGATGGTTGGGGAGCCCGAGCGCACTGGGCGGAAGGGCTGGCGGGCGCCAGTTTGGGCAACATCCCAGCAAGGAGGAGTCGGGATAGCAGAGGACAACCGCTCGGGGCTGCGCTCTGCGGGAGCGAGGCGCGTCTCCAGACCCGGAGGCGGGACAGAGGCAGGGAGAGCGGTCGCGGTCGCGCCTGCTCAGCACCACGGACAGCGGCTGCTCCCGGCCGAATTCGGCGTGCTTAGAATCTTCGAATTGTAGAGTTGCCGGGCCCTCAAAGGGTCATCTAGCCCAACCCGCTGAAGCCCCCTGTTCCTGAGCATGTGGCCATGTCTCTCCCCGGTGGACGTGGAAGGCAGTCTGTGCCCTGTGAGGAGATTTCGCCTGAGCGGGGAGCCGAGGTTCTCCCAAACCACATCTTCCTCCGCAGCAAGCCCTAATCTTGCCCCCTCCCACCGCCAAGTTCCCCCCTCCCCACTCCACCGTGACAGCGGCAGGAGGGCCAGTGTCTTGGGTCAGCTCGGCTGCCGGCCTCTACTTCCTGGCTCTGCCTGTGGGGATTTGCCCCTCTGGCCTTGACCCCAGTTTTGACAGCCTCACTTTGGGGTTCCCAGCAGCCCAGGTCTGGATCTCCTCTTGGTCTTGCTCGAGCCCGAAGCAACACTTCAGAATCTCACCCTCCAAACGGCACCTAGTGAAGGAAGGCGGAGATGGGACGAAATGGTCCTCCTCTTCAGCTATGTTGTTTTGTGGTTGTGGTTGTTTTTAATTAACTAAAGTAAATTAGATATTGCCTCGAGGGCAGAAACCCCCTTCAAGTGGCCAACTGGCAATAAATCCCCCGGAACTCTCCCTTGAAGGCGCCGACTGCTAGGTGCTACTCCCCCCCCCCATCCTGGCGCGTACCCCACGACACTACCTGAGGATCAGGTTCCTTAGGGAAACAGCCTACGACTTCTGTGGCGTCTGAAGGGTCAGCGTGCCGCCTGCAGTTTCAACTTTCTTACCCTTATGCGCAGGGAAGCGCGGTGCACTAGAAACAAACCCCGCGGCCTTGCATCTGCTCCCCTTTCCGGACACAGACGCTTCACCCAGCCATCACCTTCCTGCATTGGACGGGGTTGGGCTAGATGACCCTCGGGGTCCCTTGCAACTATTCAGTTCTATGTCAGTGATTCTTGAACTGTGATTCCTGCATAGCAGGGGTTGGACTAGATGACCCTTGGGGTCCCTTCCAACTCTAGAATTCATTCATTCTGTTTTATTGGGGCGGGGGAGTATCGCTGTCCCGCACCCACAGCCCCTCCCCTCCAGTCTATCGCTCTCAGTCGCTGCAACCCCACCGCCAGAGTCATGCAGCCCGGAGCCGGGAGGGGTAACCGGGGGGCGGGAGAAGGCCAAGCGGGCCGGGGGGGCGCGAGTGCCGTGGAGTCCAGGACAGACGTCCAGAGGTTCCTGCCCGCAGCCTCGGGGCTCAGCTGCAGAAGCGCCGAGAATCCCGCCCGCTTCCTGGCGGGGGCGAGGGCGCGCGCAGGGGGAGCCGCGACTCCTTCTCCTCCGCCCGGTCCCTGGAGGGTCCTTCGGGGGCCGCCGCCGCCCGCTCCATCGGCAATCAGTCCATGTCCCGAGCTGACGTCAATGGATCTCCCGGCCTGCTCTATATAAAGATTCCTCCCGCGGCTCCGCGCACCCTTCTTCCCGGCTTGGCAAGGACACCGTGGGGAGAGAGTCCCCGGCGTCGCAGGGCGGAAAAAAGGAGAAAGAGAGAGAGAAGAAGAAGAGGAGGAGGAGGAGGAGGAGAGGAAGATCTCCTCACGCCAAGGCGGAGAAAAACCTCTTTCCTGCGGAGGGAGCCTGGTCCGGGGCTGCCCCGTGTCGCCCCCTGTTGGCATCGGACACCCGGAGCGGCTGAGAGATGGCTGGTGAGGGACGTGGGTGGGGGCGCAGTCTTCTCTGCCCTAGAGGGACATGGGGGGAGAAGAGCTGGAGGAGGGACGGGGCGGCGGGGGGCTGAAGAGCTGCTCTACAGGTGGGCGTCGGGGCTGCTTCAGCCTCTGCCTCGCGCGCTGCGAGTGAGCCCTCTTGCTCTCTCACTGCGAGAAGCGGCTGCGGGCCCCGACGGGCCTCCTTGGGCCTGATCCGGCGGCTCCGGGGCCCTCCTGATGTTCTGTTCCTCTCCCCCTCTAGGCCTGGACCGCTCCAGCATGAGGCGGGCGCCGCTGCCCATCCTCGTGGCCTCGCTCCTGCTGGTGTCACACGCGGCTCTCGGAGTCAGGCCAGCGCCGGCCCTCGACGGCAGCGCCGAGCGCGGCTTGAGCCTGCGGCTGCGGCTGCTGCTGCTGCTCCGGGGAGAGGACCGTGCCGCCGCCTGGCCCCTCCCGCCCCCGCTGCCGGCTCCGGGGCCCGACGGGGTGGCCTTGCTGGTGCGCTCGCTGCCGCGCTGGGGCCCCGACGGGGAGCTGCTGCGCCGCCGCCTGGCCGAGCGCCTGAAGCGCCGCGACCCGCCGCTCTCCATCGACTTGACTTTCCACCTCCTCCGTCAGATGATGGAGATCTCCCGGGCGCAGAGCCAGCAAGCCCAGGCCGAGCAGAACCGCCTCCTCTTCGACTCGGTGGGCAAGTGAGACCCGCACAGGCCGGCCGGCCCCGGACCGTCTTCGGTCTCCTCCGCCCGGCCCGCCCGCAGAAGGAGGCCGCCCCAGACCAGCCGCCCCGGGAGGAGAAGGCGCAGACGGGGCGCTCTTGGTGCGATGAAGGGGGAGACGGGGCGCTTTTTTCGGCGTGCGAGGGGAGGAGGAGGGCCGGGAGAACCGGGAGGGGAGGACGGAGGCTGGAGGGGGGATCCCTCCTCTGTGAACCTGGGGAGGGGAGGCTGCCCGGCGGGAGAAGCGCAGAAGTGCAGGAGAAGCGCTGGGTGGAAGAGCAACCATTCGCCCCAAGGATTAGCCACTGAACTGCCCAGCGGGATACGCTCCCTTTATGCTCTTGCGGGGGGCGCTGAGAAGGGAGGGGATTTTTTTGCGGGGGGGGGGAGAGAATCTCAGTGGGATGGAGGGGGAAGAGGCAGTTCTCTCCTCCCTTGAAGTTACACACACACACCCCAACCACGCTAAGCCGCTCCGAGAGAGGCTGGCGAACTTGAAGCGCTCTCATCTGCTCCTTCTGTGTCTTCGGGAGTCAGTCCCACGGTCCTTCCGCGGGGCTTCCTTCCAAGGAAGCGTGTCACGGGGTGGGCAAGCGCAGCGGGAGGTGATGATAGAAGTTGCGGCTCTCCTCTCCTGAAATCCTGCCCCCCCCATAGCCCAACTCAAGGGGGTGGGGTGGAGGAAGAGACCTTTTCGAACCTCTCAGGGTTGTCCGTGCAGACGCGGCTCCCCGATCCTGGGACGGTGCAGGATTATGCCACCCAAATTGCTCCCTCCCCAACCGAAGGCGCAAGAGGCTCCTGCCCAGCCCGGCTTTGGCCGCGACCACCAGCACCGTGGACAGCAACCCCCCCCCCCGCAAGAGCTGCATTGAGAGTCGTCAGGGAACGTAAATTGAGAGGAGGAAATGGAGACACATCCCTTCTCGCCGCCACTTTGGTTATTACGCGGCAGCCATCACTCTGAAAATATATGGATTTATGATTTTCCACTATTTACTAACTACTACTGTTGTTGTTGACGGTATTAATATTAGTAGCTCCGAAGGGATCTCTCCGAACTGAGTGAACGGGCAATAAAGTGGCAAACGCAACCCAATGTTAACAAGTGTCAAGATATGCAATATTTTGGGGCGGAAAATCTTAATTTCACATACACTTTTGTGGGGCCTGAACTGGAGCTGAGGGGCCAGGAGCGACATGATCCGGGATCCGAGGAGGGGGAGCTGAGTGAGGAGGGGGACGCCACGCGCGGCAGGTGCGGGAAAGGCAGATTTCACGCGAGGGATCCTTAGGAAAGGCGCTGGAAATAAAACTGCCAGTATCGTGATTATAGAAATGCAAATCTGTGGTGTGGCGACATTTAACTGTGTGGAGTTCTGGCCGCCTCGCCTCGAAAGGGATATTGCAGAGTTCAGAAAAGCGCAACCAAAACGGTCAGGAGGGTGGAGCGGCTGCTGCATTTGGGACCTTTTAGTTTAGGGAAACGGGAGGAAGAGGCGACGCAGTCCAGGCTCATGAAACGATGCACGGCGTGGGAAAGTTTTCCTCCTCTCAGAGCAAAAATGATTTTGTGGAGCTGGAAAAGGTTCGGGAAAAGTCCATCAAGGGGTTGGAGCGATTCGCCTATTTGGAAAAGTTTTCGGATCTTGTTATCTTGGGGGGAAAGGGGGGTTTCTGCCCTTGTTCCAGCCCCTCCCCCCCGGGTCTCCGGGTGGTTCACGCTGGGGGCTCCTCCCCGCCTCGCCTCCCCCTCCTCGGCAGCCCGGCTGGGGCGCTGGAGAAACGGGAGCGCTTGCCTCCGGATTCCCCGCTGCCCTCGCCCAGCCTCTTCCATTCGCCCCGTCTCAGTCCGCCTCTTCGGCTCCTCGACCAGCAAAGCGACTGCCATGCCGTCCCCTCGCGGCCAGAGACCCTGGGGACGGACTCTGCCGCAGGGCAGTTTTAAAGGGGTTCTTTAGCGGCGATTCCTGCAGGGCAGCGGGGTTGGACTACATGACCCCTGGGGCTACCCTCCAAGGCTACAGTTCCGGGTGATCCTTGGCCTCCCTCTCCCCTCCCAATGCCACTTCCACTTTCTTCCGAAGCGGCTTCGCTGCCTCAGGCCGAGAGCGCCCCCCTCCCACAAAAAGGAAAACGCGATCTGGAACCAGCGGCTTTAGCAAACGTGACACCACTTTATTCTCTCGGCAGATTAAAAACTCGGCAAAGTGCAGGCGAAAGCGAGGAAGTCCTTCGGCGGGGGCGGCGGGGGGGCGCTGCTGCTTTGACTCCTCAGTGCTGACCTGCTTGAGGGGGAAAGAGCCACACTCAGCATTGGGGGAGGGGGTGCCTGGGCTCATCGGCCGGGAAGAGAGAGGGCAGCCCCCCCCCACCAGCAGAAGAAAGCAGAATTTCTCTTTTACGTCCAGCTCGGAGCAGAAAAGCAAGGAGCTGTGGGAGCCCTGAAAACTGGGCATCTGGGAATATAAAGGTTTTCTTTAAAAACCTCAGATTTTTAAACTTCTGGAGGAGGGGGGAGGGGGAGACTGTGCCCCACTCAGTGCTGAACCAATGGGCTGCGGATGCTCAACGGAGCTCATAGCCAGGGTGATCCACAATGGGGGGTGGGGGGTGGGAGGAGCTGGAGCCACATCCACATTCCTGACTCCCCCCCCCCCCGAGCCTCATTTGGGCTGAGGCAGGTGTGCTGGGGATGTTTACTTACATCCAGTTCACAGTATGATCCTGAAGGCAGGCTTTAGCTTGTAGTTGGAGAAGAGAGTGTAGGTTCACGTGCTGCTGGCTGAGGGCCAGCAGACAGCAAAAGACACCAGGATGGAATAAGGCGGAAAAGGGAAGATGGCGGGGTGACCAGCCCTTTTATGGGGTCTCCCAGGTCACATCCAGGATGCACTTACCATGAGAGGCACTCGCTGGCTTTGGCCTCAGCCGGGGCAGGTTCTCTCCATCTAGGCAGAGAAAAGAGAGACCCAAGAGCCCTGAAGCCCATGACGTTGTCCGGGGTGGACTGGATGACTCTGCGGATCCCGTTCAACTCTACAACAACTCTCTGGTTCACACGTCAGGCTCTGTCAGTGGGGAGGCCCCGTGTCTGAGCCCAAGCTCAGAGAGAGAGAGGAAGCAGCTGCCTGGTGCAGAGTGAGGCCCTTGCTTGGTCCATTGAGCTTAGGGGACAGTGCCCCCCCAAGGTCTCTGAAGCCCTACCTTGGGAAGCCCCTGGGGCAGATGGGGGAGCGTACCTGCAAGCAGAGCAGGTGCTCCACCACCAAGCATAATGGCCCTTCCCTCTATTATGGGATGCGGCCTCTGGCCTATGCTGCTGCCTGCCTGGACCCTGCTGGAGTGAGAATGCTTCCGGCCAAAGCCGTCTGAGCAGTCTTCTTCACCTGCCATGCGTGCATTTCAGGGGGTTGGCAGTGGTCAATTTGGGGCTCTCCGATTTCAGCAGTGCTAAAATTTGGTGCCCCCTCCCCCTCGCACTCTACAACATCATGGTGCTGCCCCCTGCAGCTAGGAGCCCATTGTGGCCAAACCAGTCATGCCACCCTAAAGCCACCTCTGGGGTTGGTCTAGATGGCCCTTGGGGTCCCTCCCAGTTCTACCATTCTATGGTTCTACACAGAAGCTTCTACAACAGCAAAGCCAGTCAGTTCCACAGAGACCCATCGCTGGAAGAGGGGCAGGAAGAACTCTCCCACCCCTGCCACCAGATTTGCTTTCAGAACGGAAGAGAAACCGACTGGGTCAGGCAGCCATTGTCCCTTCCAGCCCAGCCTCCTCTCTCACGGGGGCCACCTGGGTGCAGAGGCAGTTCCACAGCCGCCTGAGCAGCGCAGTCATACTGGGTGCCGCACAGCAGTGCCGCAATGCTGTAGAATGGAGAACGAGGAGGGGGGCAATTCTAGTGTCCCACAGGGTGCTGCTGACATTTGAGAGCCCAAACTCTGCCAGTGCTGGATGCTCCACAAAGAAACCAGCAAGCAGGATCTGATCCCAAAAGCCCCCTCCCCTCCTGCGGCTTCCCTTGATAGCCTCCTCCTCCTCCTCCTCCATGAATTTGATATTCCCATGAGGAGGGGAGTTCCATAGTTCGACTGCATGAAGAAGTTCTTTCTCTTATCCGCCATGCATCTTCCAACAGATCCATTCCTGGCTTCCCGGTGTGAGATTGATGGACTCTTCTGGAGCCCAGATCTTGTTGACCCACCCAGAACTCACAGTGCCTGATGGCTGTGCCAACCCCCAGCCCAGCCCCCCTCGCCCCCTCTCCCTTCCAGTCCCAGCTCACCTTCCGTCCCCTCGGGGGCATCTGTCCCCTCCAGATGTTCTCCCTCTTCTGCCTCCAGGCCCCCCTCTGGGCCAAGCCCCTCCTGCTCCGCATCCTCTCCAGCAGCATCTGAAAGGGAGAGGAGAGAAAGGGGCAGATGGTGAAGAAAGCCCTTCCTTCAGCTGGAAATGTTGTGGATAGTAGGAGAGGATATATTAATTGAATATTATCCTTCTGCACTCATGCTAGTGAGCTAGTAGCAGAGCACATTCCTCTGTAGATTGCAGGAAACTAGTTGGTAGATTCGTTAGAATCTCTTGAGTTAAGCAAACCAGTCTGGCTTGTCCAGATTGGGTTGTTCCTGGCAAATTCCCCTTTGTTCCCTCTTCTCTTAAAGTAATAAGACGTTTACTTACATTCAGTTCACAGTATGATCCTGAAGGCAGGCTTGAGCTTGTAGTTGGAGAAGAGAGTGTGGGTTCATCCCTTATGGGGGTTGAGCCCCAGTGCTGCTGGCTGAGGGCCAGCAGACAGCAAAAGACACCAGGATGGAATAAGGCGGAAAAGGGAAGATGGCTGCGTGACCAGCCCTTTTACGGGGTCTCCCAGGTCACATCCATCTACCTGGTCACACGCAGGGGGAGGATGCTCCAGACCAGGTGTGACAGGAAGTCCTCCTGGCTGGAGCAACATCCCCCTGTGTGTCCACTCTGGCCAAACAGGAAATGTTGTACTTGACTGCTTTCTGTGATGTCACATCCCACACTGTTGCCCACCCACCACCTCAGGGAAAGTTGCAGGATCCCATGGAGATGGGGATAGGACATTTTCTCTCTCTGCATCAATCGTGCATAATTTCTTGTCAAAGGTTTTCTGGAAGCCCAAGTGTCTGCTGTGCTGGCAGGTGCAAGCAGGGTTCTAGGTGTCTTCTGTGCAGACACAGACACAATCGTACCTGCAACACGGGGGCTGGACTAGATGACCCTTGGAGTCTCTTCTGACTTTACAGTTCTAGGATTCTGCGAACGCTCTTCAGACTAAAACTGCCAGCTTTTCATCGCTGTCTGCCAGGATATTGGGGGGGGGAGCAGACAGGCTCAGTGGGGCCCCCTCTTCCTTGTGTCCCAGGTGATGCCAGTTCCTTCCCTGACTGTGGCTCAGCCCAGCAGGCCAGCAATCCTGAGCTCTGCCCAAGGAAGGAGATGGCCAGTAGCCTTCCCTTCTTCCCACCCCCTTCTGGTCCAGGTGTGAGTCTCACCTGTCTGGAATTCAATTGTCCTCAGCATTTCCGCCACGTGGTCGATGTTGACCGTGAAGTGGTCCATGCTTTCATAGCCAGGCTCTGGGTGGCTGCTCATGGAGACTTTGGACATGTCTGTGATTCTGCGGGGAAAAGGAGGGGAGAGGTGGGACTGAGCTCATTCACCAGGCAGGCAGGCAGGCCCACTTTACACCTGTGTTGCAGCACAAAGTGTGTGAAGAAACACGATATCCCTTCCCTTCCATAGTGTGGGAGATTAGCAGCCAAATTTAACAAATGCATATTCTTGGGACTAACAACACAGGGCTATCTTGTCAGACCATAGAGGTATGATTGGTAGAGAGGGCTCTGTGTGAGGTCATTTCCCCTGCATTCCTGGAGGACACTTCCTGTCCCTGCCCCTCTTCCTTTGACCGGCTTTGGATGCAGGTTATCCTGGACATGGAAGTATTTTGCCTGCAAAGCTTTTACTGCTGCCATTGCTGTGATCCAACACATGAATATAAACCAAGTAAATATTATTTTTAAACTTACTTCCCTAGCTGTTGCCAGACTATTTGTGAAGGAGAGCCAGCTTATTCCACAGCTGGACTTGCACTAAGGATGACTCTGAACCCAGAGAGAGACCCGGGGGGGGGGCGGTCCCTCAAGGTCAAGAGGATCCAGGAGAGCCAATAGGTGGCTGAGTCAGGGGGTGAATCTTTGGTGCCTGGGTGAGGGCTGCCCCCTATTGTTGGCTTGGCCCACCGTTGTGGCCCTGGTCTGTGGGGTGGTGCTGAGCCCCTGGCCCCCCGGGAAAGATGCGAGAGGCTCTGCTCCTTCCTCCCCATCTGATGCTACTCACTTTTTGATCAGCTCCTTTGCCTGCTGCAGGAAAAGAAAGAGAGCGTTTCAGCACCAGCCCCGGCAGGTAGATCCCTTTGAACAACCCCCTTCACAAACCAAAAGGGGACCCTTGGTTTTCCCAGGGTTGCACAGCCCCTCCCACTATTTTCTGTGGGTCCCTGCCCCCCTGCCCCCCCTCCTGCTCCTTCCGCCCCACCTGCATGTACCTGGAGGTAGGCGGCCATTTGGGGCTCCTCCATGGACTGGATGGCCGACTCCACCAGCTTGGAGGAGACCTCAAGGTGGTCCCCATACTGGCGGATCAGGCCCCGCACCCGCTGGAGCTTGTCGTCCTGCTCCCGCCCAATCTCCAGCAGAAGCTCCTTCTTGCGCTCTTCCAGGATGCTGTACAAGGAGTCAAAGCGCAGGCAGAGGTGCTGCTTCTGCCGCCGGGCGTTGTCCTGCCAGGGAGGCGGGAAGCAGGTTAGCCCCGTGTGGTGGGAATTCTGAGGTCTTAGGTATATGTTCAATGTTCATAAGTGTACCAACCAAGCATCCGCACAGGAAGACCGACGTGAAACCATTTTGATTCCCAAACTGAGCAAATGTTTTCTCTGCAAGGTCAAAGGAAAATGGAAAAGCCTCCCCATTGTCTTTTCCTCCACAAATCCTGTCTTAAGGGCACATTTAAGATAGGAATAGGGTGTGAGGAACTAAGTATTGATCATTACAAAAGACTGGCCAGGCTCCCCAGGGTATCCAATCAAGTGAGCATTAACAGGTAACCTGCCAGACAGGAGGTAAACAACGCACTCAGATTTCTGCTGTAAACTGCCTTTTCTGTGATGTAGCTATGATGTATCTGGGGGGCAGTCTTGGGTTACACCCTTCTGTGATGTATGTATGATGTATGGAGGGGTGGTCTTGCGCTCCAGGGCAGGGAATTTAAAATGTCCATATAAGGCCTTGTGTGCCATTGTTCTGGGTTCCTCCTCCCTCCTGCATGTGGTGAATGAGGACCCTGTTTCAACAGATCAATAAAGATCAGGTTTACCAGCTGCTTTGCTTCACAATATTCGCTGGTTGGCCTCTGTTATTTTCTCCTACCAATAGGGAACCTACATAAGGACACTGTATGGGCTCTTGGATACCCCATAAGGGAAAAAAGGGCAGATTTTGATTACAACAATGGTGGGCTCCCAAACCTCCATAAACGCATGAACCCAGAGGCCCCCACCCCACCCTATAGAAAGGATCGTTCAACAGCAGAACGATAAAATTCAAAACAATGAATCACACATTTATTCAAAATGCAGTTAAAACTATTAAGTTTAATTATTATGCCAAATTGGATGAACTTGACCCAGTGACCCTGAAGCCAGAGATTAATTTGAACCTCCAGCACCCCACTGCAACTTAGCCCCCCCCAGGTAATCCCACTGCCCCCCAGGGGACACTACCACCCACTTTAGAAACCACCAGCCTGCCAAGTTTTGAAAAGGCTTCTTGCCACCATCTGGGCAGGGCTCAGTTGGCCCCTTGGCAGGACTCACCCGTTTCCTTTATTTGTGAGTCACCTTTTGGCCCCAAGGGGGGGTGGTCCGAAGGTAACTGCAACTTTGAAGGTTTAAGGCTATATAATGGCAGGTTTTTAAATCAGCTCAGAGATCTCCTGGGGCTTCAGAATTCCCTGCAAATTCTTCTCCCCAGATTACACTTGGGGAGGGGATCCACTAGAAGAAACGAGCCCCAGCCGGGCCCCCAGGGGGAGCATGGAGGCTCCTCCCCACTCACCTCAATGGTTTTGCAGATCTCCTCCATCTGGGTGATGATGGCCTGGATCCGGTCGTTCCCAGCCACCAGCATGGCAATGCCATCGCTCAGCTCCCCCTGCCCAGGCAGAAAGAGGGAGGAAGACTGTGGGATGTAATCCACTGGGAGCAGTCAAATACAACATTCCTTGTTTTCCTAGAGTGGACATACAAGGGGATGTTTGGCCCAGCCCATGGGTAGGCAAACTAAGGCCTGGGGGCCAGATCTGGCCCAATCGCCTTCTCAATCCGGCCCGTGGACGGTCCAGGAATCAGCGTGTTTTTACATGAGTAGAATGTGTCCTTTTATTTAAAATGCATCTCTGGGTTATTTGTGGGGCATAGGAATTCATTCATTTTTTTTTTTCAGAATATAGTCCGGCCCCCCACAAGGTCTGAGGGACAGTGGACTGAAAAAGTTTGCTGACCCTTGGTCCAGCCAGTCAAAACTTCCTGTTCCTCCTGGGCTGGAGCATTCTTCCTTTGCATGTGACTAGAGGTGGGCATGACCTTACCTGTCCAGGTAACAAAAGGATGAATCATGCAGGACTCTCTCTCTCACTTCTTCATTCAACCCGCTTCTCAGCTAGGAATGTTCTGCTAGCTGCCAGCCAGCAGAGGCACTGGGATTATTCCCCCATATGGGGTAGATCCACATGTACATATTTGTAACTAAGTCTGCCTTCAGGAATCCAGCTGACAATCAGATTGTCATGTCTTTATCCTTTTAAGAGAACTTACCAGGAATTTACATTTCAATCTGAGACAGACTGAATTGTATACTCACACGAGCCTGCAACCAGCTATCTGCTGTGCATGTAAGAAATGGGAATGTAACTCTGCTACTTAAAGGAACTTGCTAGCACAAGTTTGGAAGGATATAAATAAACAATATATCCTCTCCTGCCACCCTGAACATTCCCACAAAGACAACCTCAGCTGACCACTTCAGTGTCCTCGTCATGTTGCAAGATCTGTGAGGGGGCCCTCCAGGCTAATGGGGGGAGACCTCTCCTGCACCCCCCCCAGATGCCAGTGTGAAGTGGGTGAGCTGAGTTGGGAGAAGGCTGGAAGTTGGAGACACAGAGACCCGCTTGTTCTGTGCTGAATCCAAAGCTGCAGCTAATGGAGAAGCAAGACCTGTCAGGGGGCTGATGCTGGGAGCCCCTCCATCCTGTGCTCATCCTTTGTAAAGGTCAAGGGACCCCTGACCATTAGGTCCAGTCGTGGCTGACTCTGGGGTTGCGGCGCTCATCTCGCTTTACTGGCCGAGGGAGCCGGCGTACAGCTTCTGGGTCATGTGGCCAGCAGGACTAAGCCGCTTCTGGCGAACCAGAGCAGCGCACGGAAACGCCGTTTACCTTCCCGCCAGAGCGGTACCTATTGATCTACTTGCACTTTGACGTGCTTTGGAACTGCTAGATTGGCAGGAGCAGGGACTGAGCAACGGGAGCTCACCCCATCGCAGGGATTCGAACCGCCGACCTTTTGATTGGCAAGTACTAGGCTCTGTGGTTTAACCTACAGCGCCACCCACGTCCCATCCTTTGTATATATGGGTAAATGAAACCCTCAAGGCACCTTCATTCCAAAGAAACAGAACCTGTGTCAGCGACTGGAACCCCTGGAGTCTCTCGGAGGTGGTGTGGGACCGCTGTGTCCAGGGCTCCAAAGCCAAAGGCAGCTCCTGCCCCCTCCGCCCCCATTCCTGCCTGCCCAGGCCAGAGATTGCCAGTGGGGCTGCAGGGAGAGGGCAGAGCCTCCCCCCCCCCGCTGCCTCTGCTGCTTGGTACCTTCTGGCGCTTGTAGATGTTGGTCAGAGGGGCCACTTCGCAGTCCTTGTGGGCCCCAAAGACTTTGCACATGGAGCAGGTGGGGACCTCGCAGGTGAGGCAGTAGATGTTAATCTTCTCGTCCTCATGCTCCTCACACATCAGCTGCTGCTCCGCCTTGGCATGGAGGGGTCTGGGGGGGCACAGCAGGGAGAAGGAAAGGCTGGGTGAGCCCCCCAGACATTGCCCCTCCTCCTCAACCCACCCCTGAGACGAACGTTCCCAAAAGGAAAGGACCTGAGCAGGGTGTCTTTTGTCATGGTCACCTCAAACCCAATAGAACTGGGGCACCGCCTTCACCCGGGATGCAGCAGGCCAAAGTGCCCGACCCTCAGAGGCAGTGTGGCCCAGTGGTCAGAGGGTCAGACTGGGACCTGGGAGACCACGGTTTAAACATCTCCACTGGGCATGGCCTTCAGCCAGTCAATGCTCTCTCTGCCTAACCCGCCTCGCAGGGGTGTTGTGGGGGTTAAACAAGGAGAGGGAGAACCATGTTGCAGCACCTGGAGCTCCCTTGAGATAATAAAAATAATAAAATTTTATTTATATCTTGCCATCCGAAGCCGAAGCCGGGCTCAGAGCGGCTAACAACAGTAAAATAATACAGCATTCTAAAATCAATTCATTATAAAATCAGTTCAAATCAGATTAATGGCAACCATTGGGCTAGAGTTCTGTGAGGATCGCCAAAGGAGGGAGTCAGGCTGTGCCCTGGCCAAAGGCCAGGCGGAACAGCTCTGTCTTGCAGGCCCTGCGGAAAGATGTCAAGTCCCGCAGGGCCCTAGTCTCTTGGGACAGAGCGTTCCACCAGATCGGGGCCAGTACTGAAAAGGCCCTGGCTCTGCTTGAGGCCAGCCTAACCTCCCTGTGGCCTGGGATCTCCAAGATGTTTTTGTTTGAAGACCTTAAGGTCCTCCGTGGGACATACCAGGAGAGGCGGTCCCTCAGGTAAAGGTGAGGTAGAAATGCAGCCAATCAACTAATGAATAGAGGATTACATGGTTCAGTTTCTAGGCCTTGGTGCTGCAAACGTGAAGCCGACCCCTGGGAGCAGAAACATAGCAGAGCAGGCAGCCAAAAAAAGCAGCTCAGGTTCTGTGGACCCTGCAAGGTTTGGGAATAGCAGAAAAGCTCTGGCTTGTGTGGATTTTGATAAGGCATAATGCAAAAAGTGTCCTGCAGGTTGGAAGCTCATTTGCCCCTTTGCAGGAGGAGGGGAAGATGTGCTGGTTATTGAATCATAGATCATATAGTATGAAGGGACTCCAAGGGTCCTCTAGTCCACCCCCTGCAATGTGGGAATCCCAGGGGAGGAGCCAAAATCTGAGAGCTGCTCCCTCATTTGGCTGGAAGGGAAGCCTCAGGGTGGACATGCCTGTGAGCAGAGGTGGGGGCCCCTCGGAGGGCTGAGCGCCCCTCCCTGCCCCCGCTTACCGAGAGGATTCCTGCTTGTAGATGTCAATGATGTTTTCCACCAGGAGGTTGCGCTGCAGCCCATAAACGCCGTGCCGGTCCAGCACCACTTCATGCCGGCAGGATGGGCACCGGAACCGACCTCCTGAGGACACCGACGTGGAGCCACGCGACTGCCAGAGAGGGTTGGAGGCCTGTGGGGGAGGCAGGGGGGGTCACTGTGGGGGGCGGAAAATAGATCTGACCAACATGTGGGTAATTAAAAAAATAGTCGAAGAATTGATTCTTTTGAATTCTGGTGCTGGAGGAGACTCTTCAGAGTCCCATGGACTGCAGGAAGATCAAACCTCTCCATTCTGAAGGAAATCAGCCCTGAGTGCTCACTGGAAGGACAGATCCTGAAGCTGAGGCTCCAATACTTTGGCCACCTCAGGAGAAGAGAAGACTCCCTGGAAAAGACCCTGATGTTGGGAAAGATGGAGGGCACAAGGAGAAGGGGATGCCAGAGGACGAGATGGTGGGACAGTGTTCTTGAAGCTACCAGCATGAGTTTGACCAAACTGCGGGAGGCAGTGGAAGACAGGAGGGCCTGGCGTGCTCTGGTCCAGGGGGTCACAAAGAGGCGGACACCACTAAACGACTAAAGAACAACAAAAAATAGTTGACGGGGTGCCTAGATTCCAAACGTGGGGCTTTGCACCCTCTCCAACAGGAGAGAGCCCCCATCAAAGTTTAAAACAGTCCCAAAATTAAGCAGCAGTATAATGTGGGAATGTAGATTGGAAAGCCCTTTTGAATATCCTGTTTAAACTGCTTTAAAGCTCATGGCCCCTTCTCTCTACCCCTCCAGCAACAGACCACACACTCTTAAGTAACTTTAAAAGCTTTACTTACTAAATCCCAAGATTGGAGTCATGCATTATTCCATGCAGCAGCAAGGAGAACACAGGTAGGATAGTCTTGTGTGCAAAATATAGATTATAGTCTTAAGCATGTGGTCTGTACTTTGGAGCAAGTTCAGACACATCTGTCCTGCCTGGTTAAATAGCTGGAAGAGAAGCAGCTTCACTTCCTCCCTCAGGAGCCGAGGGAGCACAACCGAGCTGAGTGTGCAAAGCCCCGCATTTTGAATCTAGGGGTGGGTGTGGCAAGGGACAGGCTGTCTTTCTCCATTCATGGTTTTCCCTTTGACCACAAGGTGGCGCTGCTGAGGATAGAGAGAGAGAGAGAGAGACCCCCCTTGGGAAAAACGGCTCCCCCTCCCTCATCCCACCCCAGGACCAGCCTCCAGAGAACACAGTTGCTCCCTTGGAAACAGCAGCCACGCAGCCTCCACACCATGGGTAGGCAAACTAAGGATCCGGCCCAATCGCCTTCTCAATCCGGGAATCAGCGTCTTTTTACATGAGCAGAATGTGTCCTTTTATTTAAAATGCATCTCTGGGTTATTTGTGGGGCATAGGAATTTGTTCATTCCCCCCAAAAAAATATAGTCCGGCCCCCCAGAAGGTCTGAGGGACAGTGGACCGGCCCCCTGCTGAAAATGTTTGCTGACCCCTGCTCCACACTGATACGGACCGGAGGGGGGGGTACCTCTTCCCCCCCTCTCCCTTGAACGTCCGAGGCGATGACCTCGAGGGTACCCACTGTACACCCACCCTCAGTCCCCTCACCGTTGCACAAGCACCACACTTCTCCCACAACCCCTTTTCTTCTTCCTTCCACGAGCGAAATAAGCTCATATATATGAATATATTCCCCTATCTCTCCCTATGCCTATTTGCGCTCCATACTTAGAACGAGTAGACCGGGTGTCCCTGTACCCCTGCTTATTCCTATGCCTGCGTTTTAGCCAATCACGGCCATGCATTCATCCTGCAGAGGCGAGCTCAGGGAGCTACTGCACGCCTCATTTCACTTCTGACAAGCTGCTGACGGCCCCCCGCTGCGAGAACAATGGAATCGAAACCCCTGACCTCGTAAAACTGTCAAAATCTTGTTACAATGTATCCATTTTTGCAAGAATGGATACATTCTATTTCCGCTTTTGATCAGCACTACGGAATAGGCTGGAAACTATCGGAACCTTTGGAAATTCATATAAAATCAACCACAACTCCGATTTCCTCGCTCTTGGTGTCGTTCAACTCAGTTTCCTCTGGACTCCATGATGCTACCCCGACTGCATAATCCCCGAGACGACAGGTCACGTACACAGGAACTCCTTAATCCTGTCAGATCGTTCTGCCCAGCCCTTCCTCCGGGCAATGCCAGGTGGCAGACGATGCATATCACCGACCCATTGTCCCGCCGCCACCGGTACTCAGGAAATGTATATTTATGCACATCCCTCGCTCTGCATATTTCCCCCTCCCTTACCCTAGATGTTAATTAGTGAAACCCAGCCTTCCTATAATGTATTCATGACGTTTTCTTGCACTGTATTCTGGGACGTGGAGGGAACTTTTAAAAGTTTATGTCACCCCATTCTCGGGGTTCAATCTCATCTTGAACCTGTTGCGCAATAAACTTGGATCTTCGCATTTTGCTCCTGTGTCCGGCTGAGCTTCCTTTTCCTCCGCAAGGACCCGCGGACTCTGTCCGACGAGCTGGGTGGCAGGGCAAATACGCACCCAGATTTACCGTAACAGTTTGGTGCCCGAACAGGGACTTCAGCGGTTCTCCCGGGCTGCTGACCGGGGGCCCCGAACTCTTCAGCCGGCTCCGGGCCACTTTGCCTGGGAAGACCCTTTTGGACCTCCGGCCATCTCCCGGGTGGTAATCGGGAGTCCCAGGAGTTCAGTCGGGGAGCAAAAGGGATCCAGCCGGCTTATTCAACGGTCCCGGGATCGGATCAACGTAGAAGACGCGTGAGTATAGGAAAATCCAGTGCACTGGTGGGAAGGGGTGGAAATCTCCTGGCAACTGAATCTCTGCCCTCCTCCTATCGCTCCTTCTTACCTTTCTCTTGGTCCGGTTAGTGAGAGAGACCGTGGACCACCGCTCAGCCCGAAAAGGGGGGCTCTGAGCTCTATCTCTTTCTCTAAACTCTCCAGCCAGCCGCACCAATTGGGAGTCCGAGGGTAAGACAGAGAGAGCCGACTTGAAAGACAGCCGACTCTCCGCAACGGACATCCCAGTTGAAAGCAAGGGGTTGGAGTTCTCTTTCCGAACTTCTTTAGCGCCCGGCAAGGGGGCGGGAAGTGGTCTTGCTTTCTATCACCAATCCCAGCCGCACCGGTCGAGCCACGTAACACGTGTATCGTGCGTGAGCCCGCTTCCGAAAGCAAGGGGGATTTTCGACCCGGAAACTCTATCCAGGGATAACCCGATCTGGCACCGCACGGTGCGGGCATCCAGTAGGGTCCCTCTTCCTGAGATTGTACGATAGGTAGGAGGTTGCCAGGAGGGTAGCCCAGGAGGAATTGGGCGGGAATCGGCAGAGTGGGAAGGAAACCTCAGGAAAACAGATAAAGTGGAGGAACAGGATAAGGAAAGTAGGTAGGAAGAGCTCTCTAAAGTAAACCCCGTTAGGAAGTTGCCAAGCAACTGAAATAACATACCCAGATAAACCCCAGTACCCTTAATGGCCCTCCCTCTCTCCCCTTCTCTTTACCCAGACACGCGTGAATTTAAATGGGTACTCAAGCTTCCAAGCACGAGCGGGCTCGCTCCGGGAAGAAGGCTTCCAGAAAGCCATCTGAATCCCAGAGAGACCCCGACTCTCCTCTTGAATTCGTCATCTCATATTGGAAGTCTATCCCTGGGCACAAATTACTGTCGAAACTAGAGGACCTCTGTAGAGAAATCTGGCCTGACGGCACGGCCTCCGCAAAACCTGAGCTACGATGGCCACCGGGAGGCTCTTTTAACGAGGACCGCCTGCAACACCTAAGAAAGTTCCTGATGGAGGAGAAGCCCCGTCAGTTAGAATACCTAGCCGCCTTTGAGACGGTCAGAAAAATGCTCCAGGCTCCAAAAGGAGCGACGACCTACCAACTCCCCATTCTAAACCAAGGAAGACAACCTCTGCCCCCCCTTATGAAGGACACTCAGCAGATGACTCGACGGAGCAAACGCTCATCCCCTTCTACTATAGGGAAGCTCCCTTGAGCGGGGAGTCTGATAGCGATGAAGAGACAGGGGCACGGGGGGGGGCACGAGCCAAAGAATTACCCGACAACAGGCTAGAGTAAGGAAGAACATCACCCAGGAAGACTCTAGCCCCATAGAAAAACCCAGAAAAGCCCCAGGGACGTCCAAGCCATCGGACTCTACAGTTGTCCAGATGCCCTTAAGGGCCCTACCAATCCCACCCCTACAGCCGGACGGACCCCCTCGGATGGTATACACTCACCAACCATTCTATACAGCAGACCTGGTAACTTGGTCTAATCAAATGCCATCCTTAAGAGATGACCCGGATAAATGCCACCGCCAGGTCAGCGCTATTTTTTCAACACATAACCCGACCTGGCCAGATGTTCACGTTCTCCTAAACGCCCTTTTCAACGACGCTGAAAAGGCAGATATTTTAACTAAAGCTGGAGAAGCAATTGAGCTCCCGAACTACCAGGCGGGGCGCCCAGAAAGATTGGAGGCACTCACGGCTCAATGCCTGCGCATCGAACCGTCTTGGGACTATAATACCACCAACGGAATCTGGTGTTTAAACTTGTTTAAAAAGGCAATTTTAGATGGCATTAAAGCTGCGGGACAGCGTACCGTCAATTGGACAAAGGTCCAGACCGTATTACAAGGGGCAAACGAACACCCATCCGACTATTACACCAGGCTGGTATCAGCTATCAAGACCTGGGGTGGAATCGATCCAGAAAACCCCCAACACGAAGTCATAGTGAAAGGCTTCTTTAAGGATCAAGCCTGCCCTGATATTAGGAAAGCCCTGAACTTGCAGATAGGATATGATGGAAAGGGTATTAGTGAAATCCTCTCCATTGCTAAATCGGTCTATAATTCTCGAGACGATAGGAGAAAGAGAGACCCCAAGCCCGAAGTTGATCAGATCCTTGCTCTCAGCATGGAGCCGAACTCCCACAGGGGGAGAGGTTTTAGCAGAGGAAAAGGGGTCCGGGGAGGAGGACCCCTAAATCCCCAGAGGCCATGGGGACCTGCCGCCGGGGGATGCTTCTATTGCCAGGAAGAGGGCCACATAAAAAGGTTTTGCCCCTACCTCAACAATAACATGTCTTATGGCACGCACCCCAACACGACCCACGGATACGGAAACCGACCACCTCCCACCTATGCCCCTCGAACAACCTCTGCCCCTTACAACCCGCAAGTACCTCTAAGTGCATCTGCTCAAACCCAAGGGCCCCTGCCAGGACCAAGGACCCAAATGCCTACAATAAATCCACCAACCCACCCTTGGACAAATGCCACGGCACCACCCCTACACCCCCCCAACCAGCCACCACCTGACGACCAAGAAGCATATTGACAATTAGAGGGGGATCCCGACCAAACTCAGACTATCTGCCCAGTTCTGACGTTATCCGCTGAAGACCCATTTTGCACCATAGACATAGATGGCCATCCATACCAATGCCTACTGGACACTGGAGCCACATACTCCACTCTAACCGATAGCCACCTGGAACCAGGCTCAGAAACCAGAAAAGTTATGGGTCTGGATGGGATTCCCCGCACGTGTCCACTTTCACGCCCAACTAAAGTTACGCTTGGACCCTTACTAGCCGAACACACCTTCCTCTTAACCACCAGCCCCGTAAACCTCCTCGGAAGGGACCTTCTTTGCAAACTGAACACAACAATCAAATGTTCTAAAGAGGGTATCTATCTATACATGCCGGAGGATTCCATCCCCGCATTTCAGGGAATAATAGAGGAAGCGAAGACAGACAGGCAGTTCCCGGAACTCCCACCTGAACTAGAAAACGATTTACCCCCTTCCCTATGGGGCACCGAATCGACTTCCGTGGGTCTCTTACTATCAGCAGTCCCAGTAAAAATCACCTATAGGGCCGATTTACCCTTTCCATGTACAAAACAATATCCTTTACCCAAGGAAGCCATCGAGGGACTAACCCCTATGATAGAGGACTTCCTCGAAAAGGGGATCCTGGTCCCTTGCGCATCCCCATGTAACACTCCAGTACTTCCCGTAAAAAAGCCATCTGCGGAAGGAGCTCCAGTCCGATACCGCTTTGTCCAGGACTTGAGACTGGTGAATCAATTTGTAATACCCCGCCACCCAGTGGTGGGCAACCCAAATTCTCTCTTGAATGCCATACCGGCTGACACTAAATGGTACACTGCTGCGGACCTATGCTCCGCCTTCTTTAGTATACCCTTGGACCCAGCCAGCCAATTCCTCTTTGCCTTCACCTGGGGACCCAGCCAACTAACCTGGACGAGGTTGCCCCAGGGATACGTAGAATCACCCGCAATTTTTTCGGCCATATTACACCAAGATTTACAGGATATCCACCTCCCTGCTGGCTCCGCCCTCCTCCTCTACGTAGATGACCTTCTTCTCTGCTCCACCAGTGAGGAAGCATGTAAAAGGGACACCAAATACCTTCTTGCTGAACTAGCGCGAAAGGGACACAAAGTGTCACCAAAAAAGTGTCACCCATTCTCGGGGTTCAATCTCATCTTGAACCTGTTGCGCAATAAACTTGGATCTTCGCATTTTGCTCCTGTGTCCGGCTGAGCTTCCTTTTCCTCCGCAAGGACCCGCAGACTCTGTCCGACGAGCTGGGTGGCAGGGCAAATACGCACCCAGATTTACCGTAACAACACCAAACCAAAATGAAGCCCTCCTGCAACTGTGGGTTTCGTTGCAGGATTTGCCAGCATGTTCCAAGATGACCCCTCTGGGTTTTTTGGGGGTCACAGATGGACAGAGATGTCTTCCGCTTCAGAGGCCTTCTTCCCCCACAATTTGTGTCGTGGGGTCTGGGTGGCACCTCTTCTTGACTGGTCCCCAGATTTGGGGCTTTGGTATGCTTGGACTATTTAAGTTTCCTGTAAGGATGAATGTGGTTTTTTGTGGGGTGTTGTGTTACCTGACTGTAGAACAAGGGTTTTTTTCAGCCAGAACTCGCTGGTGTAGCCAGGATTTATTTTGGGTGGGGCAGGCACTATGTGTGTGTGGGGGGGGGGAGAGAACCGAGTTATCTGTGACACAATTGGCCAGTTAGTTACGTATTTTTATTTATTTGCTTGATTTAGGGGGGACGGGGGGACTGAGGAGAGCTGTCCATCCGTCCCTGCTATGCCCATGCCGACCAGCCCCTCTCAGGTGAGTGCCATTGCCATTGGCAGAGAATGAGGGAGGTGTTCATGGTGAGTTTAGGCATCTCAGTTTCCAGAAAAATAGCCCTGCACAGACCCCTCTATCACCTCCCTGAACCTGGAGTCTAGGGAAAGGGGCATCAGCAGGTTATGGGTGGGAGGAAGGCAGAGAGAGAGAAAACCAAGGAGGCAAAGGCCCCAAATTTCACATCATTATTTGATTGGTGGCATTGCTCTGCCTCCGCAGCCCAAGGCAGAAAATGCCTCCCTGGAGGGGAGAGGGAGGAGAGAGGGTTGCTCTTGCGGTCGGATCCTGCTTGTGGGTTTCCCATAATGGGCATCTGGTTGGCCACTGCTGGAACAGGATCCTGGGTGAGATGGCTGGATCCTGCAGGGCTCTTTGAATGTTCTTATGCCACATGAAGGCAAGTCTGGGCTGGAGATGATTTAATTAATTTGTATGCCACCCTATACCCATATAGGGTGGACCGGCCCCCTGCTGAATACCCATATTCTCAACATAAAATCATAATATAAAAAAAAATGCATAATAAAAACAAAGGCAATCCAATACTCCCACAACACATTTAAAAGGTCAATCAGCCAATCTCTGGTAAAATCAATTACTGCATGGGATAGATACAATACATACAAAGGAGACAACTTTTGGTGCCCCGTGATTCTGGGGGGTCAGTACCATCACAGTTGGGGTGCTTGGTTCTATGGGCTCCCCTTCTCAGACTCTCTGAGAAAACTACAGTCCATTGGCAGCCTCTCAGAAAACGCCATCCTTCCTGCTGTGGATATTAAGACATCCTTAACACACACACACCATATGGAGGGTCATCAGAGCACCCTTGAAACAATTCCTCCTTGTGCTATGAAACCCAGAATTACTTCAGCTTTGGGGGGAAACATGCATCTTCCGCTGAATGGCAGCGTCTCAGTGCCTGGCTCAGAACAATCTGCTCCTGACCTGCTCTTGGGAGAAACTGACCGTGTCTTTCATCAGCTGGACTCACAGGCAGGAGGGGCTTGAGCCCCTGAACTGGTGGCGTCCAAAGTGGGTAGTACTGCCCCTTCTGGGGGATTAACTAGGAAGGCCCCAAGAGGCAAGGGGGCAGCAGGGGTCTCTGGAAGTGTCAATATCAGAACTTGGAAAGCCAGTATCACTGGATCAAGTTCATCCATCTTGCAGAATAATAATAATAATAATAATAATAATAATAATAATAATAATAATAATAATAATGTGATAAAACATCAGACATTAAAAACTTCCCAATACAGGGCTCCCTTCAGATGTTTCCTAAAAGTTGTGTGATTCTTTATCTCCCTGACATCTAATGGGAGGGCTTTCCACAGGGCGGGTGCCACCACCGAGAAGGCCCTCTGCCTGGTTCCCTGTAACTTAGCTTCTTGCCAGTGTGGTGTAGTGGTTAGGAGCGGTAGACTCATAATCTGGGGAACCGAGTTCACGTCTCCGCTCCTCCACCTGCAGCTGCTGGGTGACATTGGGCCAGTCACACTTCTGTGAAGTCTCTCAGCCCCACTCACCTCACAGAGTGTTTGTTGTGGGGGAGAAAGGGAAAGGAGAATGTGAGCCGCTTTGAGACTCCTGAAGGGGAGTGAAAGGCGGGATATCAAATCCAAACTCCTCTTCTTCTTCTTCTTGCAGGGAGGGAACCACCTGAAGGCCCTCGGAGCTGGACCTCAGCGTCCGGGCAGAATGATGGGGGTGGAGACGCTCCTTCAGGTATACTGGATTTTGAATACAATTAATTCTTCCTGTGTTGAATTTCCTCAAGTTATGATCTTCCTTAGAGGCTTGCCTCAGCTGCAACAAAATATGTCTCTCCTGCATCGGTCTCTACAGCCAAAACAGGCTCTGCAACCTCCCAACATTTTATCTTCACCACAAAGGCCTACTCCTCCAATCAACCAGTCAAGGGTAGGGTGGGAGGCACTGGGGAGGGGGTTTATGGAACCAAGGGGGTGCCCCCTCCAAAAAGAAAAAGGTTTGGGAACTACTTCCCTAGACTGTTCCACAAAAGAGGTCCACTCTTCTCCGCCTACATAATGGACAAATAAACCTCACCTTAAATAGGAAGCCTACTGCCTGCTCTGTCTGCTGACCTGCTTTTGGCTCCCACCCAAAGCACATCACAAAATCCATTGTCCACAGCCAAGCCCTCCCAGGGAGCGGCATCTGTTCAGACTCGTCAGAAGCTCACAACGAAAAAATGTACGCCAGGCATTCCTCAGACTGGAACACCCACCCGACAAAGTGGAGGGAACTCCAGAACAGGGGGATCCCAGGAAGGAAAGAATCAGCTGCACCACAGGGCAGATGTGGAAGGAGAATGACAGGTCGCCACTTGCTCCCACTTCAAGAATCCTAGAGTAGGAAGGGACCTCAAGGGTCATCCAGCCAACCCCCTGAGATGCAGGAGTCTAAGTTAAAGCATCCCTGACAGATGGCCCTCCAACCTCTGCTTGAAAACCGCCAAGGAAGGAGAGTCCACCACCTTCCAAGGGAGACCGTTCTACTGTTGAGCAGCTCTTTCCATCAAGATGT